AACGTAGACAGTAGTGTTCACATTTGCCAAAAATAAGAAGAAAATTTCGAAAGTTTCGAAATTTCAGACATTTTATGCTCGAAATTATTCGATGCTTTCTAGAATGATGTAATTTTTGAAATTACGATAGTTCCTAAAGTTTCTAAAAAAAGTTGAATTGTACTGCTGTATGGTCATCAAGCTGATGGAAATTTCGGTAATTTCTTTTTTTGGAAATTTGAATATACCTCTATGAATCTAATAAATACTTTTGATAGGACTTATTACTTTATACTTATTTTTTATAGTCAAGGATAGATAAATGTCAAGGACGAAGCATGATCTAGTATTGTTACGATGGTTCATAACAGTTTTGATGGTTTCAAAGGACAATGCCAATTGCTTGTCAGACAAAAATGCGTCATCAAAGATATATAATTCTGACCTGAGTGTTAGTGCATGCTTTTTCGTTAGTTTTGTCGCGAGAAGAAAAAAAAATATACAATAGTATTTGTTTAACATCCAAAGACATTTGTAAGAAAATATCTTCAAAATTTATTTTATTAAATAACGATATTATAATAGAAGTACAGAAAACTATTTGAAAGAATAAACAACTGAGGAGAACAATAAGTAAATGTACAGATAAAGAACAAGGTACAGATTTTTATTTCTCATCAAAAAGGTGAAATTACACGTCATTGACAAGAACATCATTCATATCTTCAATGTTACAATGACTAATCAAGCAAGTAATACTACCGCTATTTCATACTGCAACAGAAATCATCAACATAAAGCCTCATTCAGATCTTCTAAATGATTCAAAACAAGTTTTTCATTAGTACATTATCATGTTCTGGGCTTTCACATAGATTTCTATGAAAGAAAAAGAAAGAATCACTTCATGTATAATATCAAATAAATAATCATCAATGCTCATCTATCAATCATAAGTGTTTATCAAAGACATTGACGCAAATCATTTCATATAACATTGTCCATTTTAATTGTAATGTAATTGAATCTTTTGATAATATCTCTTTCAATTGACCATGAACGTTTACATAATAAAAATAAATATGAAAAATGTGTAGAAAAAAAAAGAACTATCTAAAACGACAAAGCAATTACTTGTAGAAATATTGGATACGTGAACGGTACTTCACATCACTATTTATTGTACATTTTTGTGTTTGAAAAGTTTGACGAAATATTTCATGGTTTTGCCATGATGACGACATTATCGATGGAAAAATTTAATTCAAATTGTTTTTTTTTTATGAGGGAAAGTAGATCGGCATCACTTGTATTGTCTTCAATGAGCTTTTGTATTTGCACACAAAAATTCAGACATTTTTTGATACATTTCAAGGCGTTTCAAGGTTGAACCCATGAAAACTCCTAAGGATATCATCGGATAAGATTCTAAATCTGCTATCCCTTTGGTTACAATTTCAATAGGTTAGAAAGATAGAACATGAAATTTTGAATATGTCTGAGTATTTTTTTTGTTAAGTACAACAAGAAATTTTGAGGATTGAATGCTCTTAGAGTGTCCATCATTTCTGAGTCTTTTGAATGAGAACTTTGAAAATTATAATCTTTTCTTTTGTATACCTTAATATGAAAATTGAGATGTAGTTTTGAAGTATTAGCCTTCTTACCATCCACACTTTAGTTTTCATGTTAGGTATACAAAAGAAAAGTTATAGTTTTCAAAGTTCTTATTCAAAACACTGAGAAATGATAGGCACTCCAAAAGTATTTAATCCTCAAAAATTCTTTTTTTGTATTCAACAAAAAGAAAAATACAGAAATGTGTATAATTACATGCACTATCTTTCTAACCTATTGAAATTGTAACTTAAGGGGTGACAGATTTACGATCTTATCCGGTGGCATCCTTTCGAAGATTCTCGATTACTTACGTAGTGTTTACAACAAGTCTTATAGAGCGCCATATTCACTAGGAATGGCACATTATCTTTATTTGACTGTGAAAAAGTAAAGTAAGGTTAAATGCTTTACTTTTTTTTCATCTACGTAATTGTGCCATGAACAAGATTCACAAGTTACAGGAAAAGAGAAAGGACAGAAAGTAAAAAAATAAACGAAAAAAAATGAGAGAAGAAGTAAAAAGAAGAAAGTAAAAGGATAATGACATACATATACTTTTCATTTCTTCTTAGATATATACGTAGTTGATAGAGTCAAATACTTTACTTTACTGGCTGAAGTAAAGTTAAACACTTTGCTTTACTGACTAAAGTAAAATTGAGTTAATTTACTTTATCGATTGAAGTAATGAGAAAGTGTCATCCTAATATTCACCTAAGGAAGATAACAACATTTCTTGTATATTCCCTGTTGTGATACTTAGATCGTACATTTTAAGTACGATAGTAGTAACTTTGAAAAAGGTGGTACATATAATTTAATAGTTTCATTATGAATTGTGATATTTCAATGTTTATAATAAAATCAAACGTGATCTTCAGACTAAAAATACAAGAATTGGCTTATAAAGAAAATTCATGATATATGTTTTGTTTCTCTTTTGTTTCTTTTTTTTTATTATGAATATATGTAACAATGGTTGAAGTATACGAGAAAGGAATGAATCATTTTCATGTTATTTTTATTTTGTTCTATCTGTTCAATCGTATGTAGTTGTTCATATTTGATCTAAATCTAATGTTGAGGAAAACCAATGCTATAAAGAATTATATTCTAATAATATAATGAATTAAATATGTTATTATAATTTATCATCGAGCTATTTTTATGATATAACATTTGTTCTATTTAGTCAATAGACTTATTAGTTAATGAACGATGAGATCCATTCAACTCTCACTTGGTTAGTCTAAAGATGACGTTTGGGCTTTATTAGAAACGTCGAAATATCGCATCTAATAATGAAACTATTAAATTATATGTACCATCTTTTTTCATAACTATACCTATCGTACTTAAATTATATTCATTACTCATACATAACAATTTAATTATTTACATTTAGATCGTACGTATCTTAAGATGGCAAGTATTGTACTTTAATGAAAGAGATTAAATATATATAGATCAAATTAAAAATTTCAGCGCTCAACCAACAAATTGGAAATATAAGCTGTCCTTGACATGCATGAACCGAAAATGAGATAACCAATTTTTAAGGAATGTGTAGTGCATGTTTGGTACCCATAATTCAAAATATTAGCACAATTTTTTTTCTTTTGCCATTTTACTTGGATACCTCATTGAGTAATATAATCATAATAATATGTTTCGAATTTAAAAAACGATTTAACGATAATCAGAAGTCTAGATCTATTTTCTCTTACATTTGAAATAGAATCATTTTAGACTTTCCTTGTACAATCGATTTTTAAAACTTGAAGCGTATTTGTTATTATGCTGCTTGGTGAACTCTCTCCGAACAAAATCAAGAAAAAAAAATATGATGAGACTTTGAATTTAGGGCTTCGAGCACACACTAAACACTCATTAAAAATTGAATATTTCAATCTCAGTCAATACATGTAAGAGCAGTCTATATTCTATAATTATTCGTCTGACAATAAGAGCTTTTATTTGATCTAGAGGCATCTAATCATTTTTACTTATAATACTATCCATCGTTACATGATAGTATTCAAGAAAATCGTACAAATATCATACTTTAGTTATGAAACATAGTGTGTAGTTGCAGTTCTATTGTATGTATCACACTCGATATGATTTCACATATCAAATAAGTATGATATATAAACGAAAAAAAAATACTCTGGCAAAATATCATTAAAACGCATCTATCTCAGTAAAATGATAATAGAAGGGAGTTTCAACGAGTTACTACGCGTTTTTTTCACTTTTTCTACGTAAATGCATCAAAACAGGCCTATTCTGGTGTTGAAATAGGCTTAACTATCGATCTTGTCTACTTCACTCATTAAAATGAATTGACATAGGAAAAAAAAATCGTTTTCATGCGTTTATTTCTTTAATTCGTCGAGTGAACGCGTTTCAGAGCGTTGTTTTCTTCAACATTCATCTTCAATGCGTCAAAACAACGTTATTGCCATTCATCTGTCTCCGTGGCCATATTATATGGACTATCTCTCAATAAATCATGATATTGCTGTCTTTCTGTCAATCCCAATTATAGGCGCTGTCTGTCCTCACAATAATAGAAACTCGGATGACTTTTTCTCTCTATTCTATGTTATAGCATGCTTAAACGAATATTTTCCGTATGACATATCACCATATTAATAGTATTTCTAGGTGAGATAAACAATTATTCATTACATACTAAAAATATACTGTATTGAACAGTTCAAAAAGAATGAATATGAAGAAAATCTTCAAAGAATCATATGATTCGAAGAAAAATTTGTTTTATAGATATTTTAAATTGTGTACTTGACCAATCGATCAAAAAATAGTAGATCATTGTGCAAATATACTTTATTTCAATACAAACGTCAGTGCATATATATTTGGCTGATATTTTCAAAAAAAAAAAATTTCTCTATACATGCATTATGCAATTCAAACATGATAATAATAAAGAAGATGAAAAAAAAAACAGTCGTTGCCGCATAACATCGCCTCGTTCCACTATATTAGTACACATCATGTGCAACAGAAAAAAAGAAAAAAAAAAAAACAGAAAAAGATGTATTTTTCAAAAGTGAATATTTATCACGACAAATTTATACGAAGACAAAAAAAGACACCAACAAACAAAAGCTGTGTCTGTGTGCGGAGTAAGAAAAAAGAGAAGTATAACTATTATATGGAAGCAGAACGAAAAACTGGACCAAAAAAAAATACGATTGTACAAATGAAAGAAGAGAAAGAAGAGCTGATTCTTAAAATAAAACCAGTCACACCTGACATTATGGTGAGAGAAAAAAAACGTAAAGTGCCGATCCACTAAAAAGACACGACAAAACAAAAAGCAAAATAAATCACAAGATCATCAGTAAATATCATCATCATTATTATTATCTTCACTCAAGTTGTATTGATACAAAGTCACAATAATTGGATGGTTGAGGAGTACTAGCACGACTTGATGCTGCCGAGGAAATCATTGATGACGAACCACCACCTTCCAAACGACTGCCAACAAAATTTAATAAGTATTGTTCACGTTCTATATCGATCAAGAATCAAATCATAAATATATTATTCAATAAATAGAAAATATACCTTGTCCCGTCAATGGACAATCACGTGAAACAGCTCGATGTAATAAAACATACAAAGCTGTACATGCCACTGATTCATAAGGTGTACTAATTTCAAGACTATTGGCACGTAATGATGAAGCAATAGCTGTAGCAGCTGCCGTTGCCGATTGTGACCCTTTTGGTTTTGGTTGAGCACATTTATTCATGGAAAGTTCACGAACAAATGGTGCTACTATTGTATTCCATTTTGTTTGTAACCAACTATCAATAATAAATGTGAAAAATTTTGTTTTTCTCTTAACATTTTATATTAAAAAGAAGATTATAATACTTACTCGAAAATAGCTTCACGTTCCATTGGACAATCAAAAAATAATGCAGGTCCAAGTAATGCATCTTGAAGACTCAATTTTTGTAAACATTCATTATAACGTTGCCATATATTTGTTATCCATTGTAATGTTTTAATTAATTCATTATTAATGGATCGATTTTCACGAATATTTCTGTAAATGAATAAAACGAAAAATTGATTCTTAATTTCAAAATAAAGATAAATAAGATCAATGCTTACATATCAATCATACGTCTCCATAATTGTCGTTTAAGTAAACCATTCCATGGTACATTATCAATTTTAAATGGTATCCATTTAAATTTTTTATAAATTTCATTTTCTGTTGACCATGTACGTTTACTCATTGTAGTAAATATATGAAAGATTGATGGAAAATAATAAATTATTGTTGATTCTAATTAATAAAAAAAGAAAATTTCATTGAAGGAAAAAAAAAAAACATCTCATAAATAATTACTTGAATCTTCTTCTCTCGAATAGGATATTTGTTGACATGTATCAGAAATTGATTCACCATTTAATAATAAATTAAGTATATCAGTACCAACACTATTTTGTATATTAGCAAAATAAAGTAAATATTTTGTAGACAATTGTTGTTCATTTGACCATTGATATGTACGAAAAAAATCTAAACAATGAAAAATGATTAAATAAGTATATAAATTAAATTTATTATGAATACTTTGTTCAACAAGTTCATCAATACAATCATCTAAACTTGTAACACTTTCAAATTCAAATCTGATCACTTGAAATTTAGGATTAGATGAAAAACCTATTGGTCGTTCAAAATATCTCATAAGATCTTCAAATAATGATTTTTTCTGTAAATGTGCTGCACCATAAACTCCAACATAAGGATTTTGTTCAATCTAAAAGGAAAAATATATTTTATATATATAAGTTTAATTGATAGAAATTAAACATACATAGCGAATAAAATTTTTCAAATTTTGACTCGGGATGAAATAATGGTATGCTAAAGAATCTGTAGCATTCATTTGAATACCTTTAAGTTGAATAGTTATAGTATCTTGTTCATATGCAACTGTATATGGTATAGGTGATTCATCATTTGGACTATCTTGATAATGCCATTTAGTTAAACCTATTCAAATAATAATTAAATAAATCTATTCTTTTGTTAGTTTTTTGTGGAACACGATCTAAAAGAAACGTTGAAGTGTGCAGAATAGAAATTTGCATACACCTCCTCACAGACGATGATAAATGCGAGTCAAGAACCATCGTAACAGGCGCTAATCAAAGATCGTAAACCAATAATGTCTCATTATAATATATAAACTCATTTCTTATTGAATTTTTCGAAGACTGAGAAAAGAATAATGAAATGTACCTTACAATAGATAGAATAAAATAAACTCTCTGTAATTAGCAACAGCAGCTACATCATGTTTTATATTTTAACCCCACAGAGATTGTGCTAACAGCTTTTTTGTTTTAGATTTTAAACATACCAAGTGCTATTGTATCAATATGATTTGCTGTACAACCAATAGAAGATTTAATATAATCAAATGGTGAATCGATTTGTGTGATATGGTCAATAAATATTTTTATACATGTTCGTTCAAGTTCAAGCCAAGATAAATCTGTTGTTACAGATATTCTACCAATAGCATATGAATATCGATGTTCACCACTAGATGATGAAATACGAACGATTAAATTAATAGGTTTCGATTCAGCTATTTTGCAAAAAAAAAATTATTTATTCTTTTTTAGTAACAATTTAAATTGATAGACAAACTTTCTTCATTATCTAATGCTGATAAAACAGCAAGACATTCATTCGAAATAAATGTGTTAGGATTAATAAATTGAATAAAGTCTTGTTTAGATATAATAGCAAATAGACGTTCGAGAAAATACTAATAATAAATATATATAAAATAAGTTGCAATATTAAAAAAAAAAAAAGAAATATTTACTGTATTAGACGATCGTAATGCTATCCGTAATAAGCGTGAACAATATGAAGGATCAGCTTTTAATTCTTCATGTAAAATTAATAATAAATAATCATAAGTACTTATATGATTATGTTCAATAGAATCAAATATTAAGTCCATAGGTGGCTAGCATATACAAAAAAATAATGACCATTTCATACTATATAAAATCTATTTACTAGAATTTGACTAATATCTATAAATATTTGTAGACATTCAAGTTTGATTGTTTCATTTAATTTCGATAGATTATTCCATGGTGTTAAACCAAGATTATTTTCAAGTAATGGATTAGCACCAAATTTAAGTAAATGACGAATACATCTAAATTAGATATAATGATCTTTGATGTTCAAATTCGTTCGGAAGATTTTTACTCAATATGTCCATTAGTTACAGATAGATGAAGACATGTATTTCCATTGAACATTTGACTATTTGGATTAGATCCAAGTTTAAGAAATTTCACTAATTGTTCTATAGAAAAGTTTTTTCTTCATTTATATAAAAAATAAAAAAGTAAAAAATAATTCATTTGATACCTGTGTCTCCATTTTCAGCAGCTCTGAAAAGTGTTATGTCAGAATGTGAAGATAATGATAATGATGATGATGATGATGATGATGAGGTTGTAGAATTTAGATCGCTTTTGTCTGTGTTTGATGGTAAATCGACAACATCTGTTGGAGAAGTTAAACGATTTTCAGCAACTAAAATATCAATAATAGAAAATATAAAATTAACAAAAATAAATCAAGAAAAATTAAGCCAAGCAAATACGATTAGCATTATTAGTATACACACATATATATATATATACATATACAAGAAGCAGAAAAAGAAGAAGCTTTGTGACAATTATTCACACAAACATAAAAAGCATAGATAGACGTAGGGTGATAGAATATCTTTAATAGAATAGATAGATTACCTGTATGAATGGTTTCTAACAAAGTTCGTAGATCATCAATTTGGTGTTCTGATGAAAAACTAGTCTACAAGATGGAGAGAATAGAATATAGAACTACAAGGTCAATTTTTCTATGTAAACCATTTTTTAATCTTTTCCATCACAAAAACAAAGATGAAAAAAAAAACACAAAGCAATATGTTGGATTATTTAATTATCCATTTCCCATATTTAGGCATGCATCGAAGTCAAACTCTGATTCGACGTTCGGAAACTATTCAACCAGTGCAGACAGTGTCGATTATTTAAATATTTTCTAAAGCATTTTTTAAGATACACGGACGATGATAAAAATATATCAAGGGATTTTCTCACAATAGATTTACTATTTGGAATAGTCTATTTGGGCTGAAATTTTCAAGAATGAGTGGTCGAAGTGAGATTCAGTATTTTTGAACATTGTTGCCTTTCTTTTATGATGTCTTTATTATTCTTTTAGTTTTTAGATCATGTACTTTATTGGATGTCGACCTACCATAGATAATCCTCAAATCTTTTGTTTTAACTTCTACTTCATTTTATTAATTAATTAAAAATGATTGCACTCAAGACCAAACTCGAACGGTTCAGATTCGATGCATGCCAACCATTTTCCCTTTTTTTAATAGTTAAGTGAAACGATTCATTAATTTACCTGGCCAGATCGCTTCGCTGGACCAGTTGTTGTTGTCGGTTTAACAATTTGATGAGGATTTTTTGTCAAACGAGGGATACCACCACCACGTGGAACATTATTTCCTGTTGTTGATGTAACAGTCGGAATAGATGATGTTGATGTTTGACTATTGCTTGGTGATGAACGAAGATTAGAAAGCATTGGAGATTGAGGAACATTTGATATTGAACGAGTAGGTATGACATTACGTTTAGCAACAGTAGGTACTGGTGATACAGATAATTCAGGAATGGATGATGTTGAACTTGTCATTGATGATGTTTGTTGTGTATGTGGTGCAACTGATAGAGGAACAACTCCGGCTTTTTTTATTGGATTATTAGTCTTTTTTGATGCTGATGGTGCTGGAATAATAGTTGGACGGCGAATACCACCTGTGGTTGTTGTTGTTGTTGTCGTTGATACGAACGGTTTTTCTGGATTGGACGGTGATGATGGTAGATCATTTGTTGAAAGAGGTGCTTGAGGCACTGTTGATGGTAATTGACGAGGTTTTAATTGAGGTTTAGAAACTGTTTCAGTCAATTCTCCTTCCAATGTTGAAACACCTTAATGTTAATATGTATGTATAATTTTTTTTGCGAAAATAAAAATTATAAATAATTACTATTTGTTATCGTTTGTTGTTTTTTTTCTTTGACTAATAAATCAATTTCACTTTGTAACTGTTGAATACGTGATGTTAAAACTTGTTTATTACGTTCATTTTCGAGTTCTAATTCTTTAAATCTTGCTTCACGTTTTGTATCATCGCTAAAAATAGAATTTTTTAAATTAATTTGAATGAAAATTTCATTTGTTTTTTTTTTGTTTACTTGATATAATTATTTGATAATTGTTTTAATTGTTCTTGATGATGATCATTTTCAAGTTTACGTTCATTTAAAAGAAGTATAACAAATTTTTTATGTCGTTCATGTTCATGTTCAAGTAATTTCATTACTTGAGCTAATTGCTGTTCTAATTCTTGATTCTGCGATTTAATATTTTCGAGCTAGAAACACAAAAAAAAAATAATATATTTTATAATAAAATAAATTTTTCCTTTTCAAAAAGATTAGTTTATTTTAGATCAATGCTTCCAGCATCTGGATCCACAAATATCCTACAGATTCCCGCTGAAAATACGTCGTTTCCAACTGGAAAACTTAGAAACATGGTAGGAACTTGAAAGCAGAAATCCGATGATCAGATTTATCTAGTTACGGTTATAACCAGGCAGAGTCGGTCACCAGATTCCTGCTTCCAAGTTCCCACCATTTTCCCCAATTTTTTGACCACAAACGGTCCATATTTCTTGACTTAAGGTTTTATCGTTTGATGACAAAGTACTGTGTTATGCAAAAGTAATGGCATAAATATCAATATCCGTTTTCTCTACGATAGAAGAGTGTTGAAAGACATTTTTATCTTTCGAATTGTATATGAGTTATTTTTATTACACGTTTATAAACAAAATGAAAGAAAAAAGAAAGAGAAACACTTCCTGACTGGATCTACAATTTTTATAATGACTCATCAGATAAATTTTCCAAATCAACTGAAATATAATGTTAAACTAACAGTGGGTAAAGCAAAGGTTGTTAAATAATTATTTGGGTCATTAAAGTAATAATATCGATTTGCCGCACCAGAACTCTGCAAAGTACTCGAAGTACTCATACTCGCACTCAAGCATCGAATGCTCTGATTTTTGATAAAATGTGTTTCATAGTTAGGGGTAGCACCGGACACTTATTTCTGTCCGACAAAGATGAAGGCGGTAGCGAATTTCTTCTGTTCATCTATCTTATATGAAAATACATCGCTACATATTCGATAATTATACTGCAACAGGTCTGAACTTATGTTTGGAAGTACTTATACTCGTACTTGTGCAGTTCTGTACCGTGACTTTGTTATTTTTACTAAAATGTACAATATTTTTCATCATCAAAAATAATATTATCATTACGAGGAATAGTTTTAAATAACTTTCTACAGTTTTTCTAGGTCATTTTTTGAGCTTTTATGTTACGATTGATGGTTGTTTGGATAACGTTGAAACGCCTGGGTAATTTATGCTGATTGATATCACAATGGTTGTTTTACAGATTTTATCAGTTGTTTTAATTTTTGATTAGTAAGTTTTTCTAGACGACTACTCCTTGGTAGAAATTTGATTTGTTCATATTTTAAATATCTATTCAATATACTATAAATCGTTCTTCTTGGAATGCCCTGTTTTTTGAAATAATTAACTATCATTTTGAAAGATTTATTTGACGAATAAATATAAATATTGTATATTCATTGAACGAGTATTTCTTTCTCTTCTCGTGTCATTTTGTTTATGAATATATATAGCAAAATCAAGTAATACACAATTCGGAACAGAATAAAATTTCCTATCAACTGATAAAAAGATAATTGTTCCTGCATGTGTTTACTAAAGAAAAATAGGCATTGATATTTCATTCTATTATTCTGAATTGTATGACAAGCATGTAAGATACTTCTCTTTTCTTTTATGAACATATGATAAAAATAAGTTATAAGCGATTCGAAAGAGAAAAAAATCTCTATCTCCTAGTAAAAAAATTTCGTTCAGCACCTTTCTATTGAAGAGAGAAAGACGTCTATACTTATACCATTACTTTTGTATGATACATTATATTAAAAGCATTTTGAAATAATTACTTCGTTACGTAATTGAAATTTTTCTTCTTGAGTAATTAATAACTGATTTTGAAATGCTTGTAATCGAACTTTTTCTTTTTTTTCATTTTCAAGTTCTTGAGCCAACTAAAACAAAAATTTTATTCATAAATATATTATTTTTTTTTAAATTTTACCAATGCAAATCTTTGTTGTGTATCATCAAGTGCAAATTTTAATGTATGTACTTGTTTTCTTTGTTGAATAATAAGTTCTTCAAGTTGAACAAGTTGTGTTTCATATGCATTTTTCATTGGTATTTGTTCATTGAGTACATCTTCTTTAACATGTTCACTATCGCGAAGTAATGCACCATAAGGATCAGTTTGACAACTAAGACGACCAAATCGTGCATTTGATAAAAGTGTTTTCACTTTTTCTGACTAGAATATTAAAATGCAATGATTAAATTTTTGTTGAAAATTCAACTTGTAATTTAAAATTAAAATCTATATATTCTTATTCATATAGAAATATATCATATTTTATTTGAAGAAAAAAATTAACAATTTTGTTAACTCAAGAATTTTAAATTATTCGATCTATACAATATTTCAAAAAGTCATGATTATGCTTGAAATGTATTTAGCTTCATCTTTTATCAAAATTAATCAAATATTTTCTTTCTAATCTGAAACAGAACACTTAAAAGTTTTCATTTGTAAAGATAAAGTTCATATATAGTCTTGAGGACTTGTCACTTCTAGGCATTCTTTCAAAATCATGCATTTTTCTAGTGTCGTTGAATACTATGTAACGTTTTTTTCTTTTTTTTTTTTTATATTTATTTATTATTATGGACTTTAAACCATTAACATGAACATATTTCAATAGTAATTTATTAGCATTTGTTCGAAAATATCAATTAACTGTCATATTTTATGAAAACAATATGTTCGTGTTGCGATAAAAACTTTAATAATTCGATGAAATTAAGCTATGAGACAATGTCATGATTCTAACTATCATTAGATTTAGAATTGCATTTATAAGAATATATTAAAATGATTGCTAATAAAATATTAATGAGCCATGTTAATGCTTTAAACTCTATAATAATGCTATAAATAAATTCAAGTAAAGATAGAAATAAGAAACATTACTGATTGTTTTTTTTTGTTCTGCGGGAACGATTTTTTCCCGTAATATTTCCCGTGAGAATCGGGAACGGGAACGACATTAAAAAATGAACGTTCTCGAAAATCATTTTGTTTTATTTATGTACTCGTCAGACTTTGCTATTTCAAACTAAAAATTGTCGAAAGTCAATCGGATGTTACATTGTTGAGAAATAGATTTCACTATTCTTACAAAAACTTTTGTATTACTTATTAATTAAAAGAAAAATTATAAAAATCAGACAAATTCATTCATTATTTATTAAATTATAATTCAATTTTTATCGTCGAACGAGCTCTTATTCATATTATCTCACAATAGAGGTTTTCTCCTCTTGAATGGTTTTGTTTTTTCATCGATGTTGTTGATATACTAGTATTTTTTTTCTCTTATCATTATTCAATTGATGAAGAAGATAATTCTCTTAACTTAAAGTTGATAAATTTCGACGTATAAATAATAATTGATTGATTTTATTAAAATGTACCTTCGACGATAATTATAATTTTAGTTGAAGGTTATCACACGTTGCGCAAAGTGCGACGTTGATAGAGACTCTTGTCTAGCAATGATAGGTGTTCTCTAAGATGAAAAATGTCGTCCCTGCAGGACACTATTTTATGACATGAGAAGAATACAAAGTTTTTACATTGCGACGAGTAATAATAGTTTTTATCGGCTATTTGTGAACTTTGTATTGAAGTATAAGAATATACAAATCTCCTTTTTTTTAGATAAAAAGACAAGCATTCAAATGTTGGACCAATGAGAAAGTCTCAGTTAGACTAGCGAAACCGGTTATAACTCGGCGCCATTAGCCTATGACGATGAAGCTTTTTAGACTTTTGCTAGTCTCACTGAGGCCTCTTTGTAAGCCCAAATGGTAGCTATCCATCCGAGTAGTTCTCTCGTAATCATTCATAATAAAATACAAGCCATTTTGAATGTAATCCTGATGTTTTCTTTTTTTTTTGAGACACTGCATTTTACCTTCAATGCTGCTAATGCAATATCTTTAGCTTGAAGTTCAGCTTCAAAACGTCCTAATAATTGAATAAGTTCATCTTTTTTCAATTCATATTTTGGATTACGCTATAAATAAAATATTCTTTTAATATAAATAAAATAATTTTTCAATAATTAATTACTTTAAGTGTACCAGCAACATTTGATCGATTTTGTTTATTTGATGATGAATTTTTTTTCTTTTCTTTAGTAGGAGTTGATGTTAACATTGTTGTTGCCATAATTTATGTCTTCTTTTTTTTTTTGTATATCTACCTTTTAATATACATCTAGAAAAACAAAACGAGAGTTAATATAATTATAGATTTGATCTTTAATAACAGAAGACAATTGCGTTTTTTGATTTAATTAATTTCTATTCATTTACTATCAAGTCGACTTTCACGTTCTATAACTGATTTGTCAAAATTAATTACATAAGTTGTACCACGAGGTCCTTGATGAGCAAGAACTTTACATGTAAAACTACTCGTACATAGGACACCTTCAATAATACCAGCTACGAATGAAGCACAATTTAGATTGCCTTAAAAAAAGAAAAATTTTCATCATGCTTTTTTTCCTGTAACAATTATTTCTATACCTTTATCATTAGGAACAGAAATAAATTTATTAACAAGACATTCACGTTCAATGAGATAATCTAAATAAATAATCGATTCTATCTAAACAAAAAAATAAAAAATTTTTAAATACATACAAACATTTGCTTCTTGTGCATGTTGTTCAAGATTGTCAGCTTCACGATTAAATAAAAACTAAAAATTATTTAATTAATAAAAACTTTATATATATATATATTTTTAGAATTTTCAACTTACTTTCCAAAAAACTTTTTGAATAAATACAAGCATTGGTGTGAGACGTACTTCACGTTTGTCTTTACCAACACGTAGAAAAAATAAATCGAGTACACGAATACCTACATGTTTACCAAAATCAGCCAATCTATTTAAATATTTTTTATGATTGAAAAATAATAAAAGAAAAGAAAAAAAAGCTTTACCTGTTTTGAAGATCATGTATATTATCAACACGATTTTGTGAGTATTGCACCATTTCAGAAAATAGTAATGCAAATGTACTAAAATTTGCCTAAAAAAAAAGGATAAAACGGATTGTTTTTTATGTATTTTGATTTTCTTTTAATAATTACATCTCCTTTTGTTTTCTGCAACGATCGATCAAGTGTCGATGATTTTAAACGTGTAGATGATTGCATTGGAGATTTTTACTAATATTTAATTTAACATCGATCTGTATATGAAAGAAGAAAAAAAAACGGAAGAATAATGTGCGCTTCGATCAATTTTCATCGTCAATATTCAATGCCATGCACCACATGGCGCCGTAGTAGCAATAGCAAACAAAAACAAACGATGCTGGTAGGATAGGATAGCATAGTACAGTACAACACATTGTAAATTAACGATGCTCCTATAGAATAATTCATCTATTAGAGGTCGCTACTCATCGGACGCTCTTAACAATCACGATGAATATTTTTTTAGCATTCATTCTCTTCTATAAACAAATACAAAATGTGGTTTAAATATTGATAGTTAGTTATCGTAAAATTTTACCACTGTTAAATTGTAATAATTTTAATTATAAGATAATTTTGTTATAAACAAACACTTTACAGCAGGATTTACAATGGAAATCTGAAATAAAGTCAAATGAGCAAGGTAATGTCAATGCGAAATTTAAGCAAAATATTTTTTTCATTGTTGTACAGAGTTTGTTGAGTTACCTGTAAAAGTATTGTTTTTAGACGATGTTTTTGTAATGAAACTAAGGAAAGTTAGGTTTAACAATGCCAGAAATATCTATAAAACTTGAAATACGCCAAATACATCAAGTTTCGGTAGCCCCAATATTTATTCAAATTCTTAAGAAAATCGATTTTTTTGATATATTAGCAAAAAAACGCATAAAAAGGAATTCATATTCAGAGTTTTTCACGATCAGAACTCCAGTTTCAAAAAAAAAGAATATTATACTCAGAATCAGCACAAAAATTTACATCGAATAGTATACTTAATACTCAAAACAAATTTTCGTCAAATTTCGATATTAGGAGAACCATAGATCAGATTCTTCGGAAATAACAGTGCGAAGGTGTGAGCAGCGAAATTTGATGAAAATTTGTTTTGAGCATTGAGTGTACTATTCGATGTAGTAGATTTTTGTGTTGATTCTGAATATGATATTCATTTCTTTTGGAACTGAAGTTCTGACCATGAAAAACTCCGAATATGAACCTGTTTTTACGACTTTTTCGTAGGGATGGCCTATTTACATTTACGCCAATTTATTAAATCCGAAAATAAATTTTGAAAAATTTAAATTTAAAAAAAATGTAAATTTTTTCAATAACAAAATTTATACTTAAAATAAGCTTAAATTTTCCGAATTAAGAGTAAAACGAAATGTAAATTTTTATTACACCCAAAATTTATAATTAAAATAAATTTAAATTTTCGAAATTTACATTTAAAACAAATATAAATTAAACTGAAAAATTTTTATTTATTATGTTGTTTCAAACAACATAATCCATATCAAGATCACATGTCTCTATCAATTATATTGTTTCTCGTTACGGTCCAACAGGCATGCTTTCAGCAGTTTATATTTCAAAAATAATTTTGTTCAGTAATTCTTTATTCCAGTGTTTGAAAATTATAACTTAGCCTTTAGGCATACTCGACATAAATGTTTTGATCTTTTCACATTTCAGATACAATCGAAAGTGTTAGCTGGATGTTCTGTTTATCCGTGTGAAGATAGATGCACCAGGTGAGCGATAGAAAGAGCGATAACTACCATTACCCATTATTTTACTCTGGTAATAATTATATATATTGTCAAAACGGAAACTACTTGGTCAAAAAGAATTGTTCGATCAAAATTCTTTAGATTATTCATGTAAGACAGGACGAGTTGTTTACTTTTAGTGGCACTAGTTTTTAGAAAACATCATTGTTCTCGCAAGATCTAATAACCATATGCTGAAAGACTCGATTGTTTCGCAGCTTTCTATAAGTATATCAAATGCAAAAATGAGATCTAAAACTAGATTGTGATTGTTTTTATGATTCGAAAAATCCAGTTGAATGGGTGATTTTCTCAAATACGAATCAGATTTTTAAATGTAATCGATTTCAACCTATTGGATTGGCTATCATTTGGTTTTGATACACTATACCATACATTTAATATAAAATGTTGCTTTTATTCTGAGAGACAAGACAGAAAACTCTAATTTAGTTAAAATTTATTTAAATGTAAATTTCGAAAATTTAAATTTATTTTAAATATAAATTTTTGGTATAACAAAAATTTAAATTTATTTTAATTATAAATTTTTGGTGTAATAAAAATTTACCTTTCCTTTTATTCTTAATTCGGAAAATTTAAGCTTCTTTTAAGTATAAATTTTGTTATTGAAAAAATTTACATTTATTTTAAATTTAAATTTTGAAAAATTTAAATTTAAAATAAATTAACAGGAAAATACCACCCCTACGGTAAAAAGTATATATCTTTACGCGTTTTTACTCGTTAAATATACCCTTGTCTGCCTGCGTATTTATATCTATGTTTTTTGTTGCATCAGAGTTTCAATAAAAGATATTTAATCTTCTCCAAGTATTTTCTTTTATTGAAACAATTTATAACAAAGAAAAACATTGATGAAAATTTTCTGGACGAGCAAACGATAGATGTACATCAAGACTTTAATTTCACAGAATTGAAATGCGTTGGATCATTGATAAAATTATTTGTTATCATCGCGAGTGATTTATATTCCATAGAGAGATTTAACAAATGAGGTAGATAATTATTTTTTTCAAGAGAAATAATTTGAGATAGTCAACATGTGTATATTGGAGATCAAGAAATATGAGATAACTTATCGAGCAACACTATTAAACTAGTTCCTGATGGTGATTGGAATACATTTAATCCAACAAATTCATTCGAAAATCCAGAAAAACGTTTTGTTAATGTAAATGCTATTTTAACTGATTCAAATGATAATCCTTGGGTTGTTGATTCTGGTCTACTTGGAAGTCGAACATTTGTAAATGGTTCAAAATTTGTTAAGATTAATCTTAATACAAATATAGTTGACCAAATTTATTACACATCAAGTTTAAATCCACCTCTAGGATTTGCTTTAAATGATGTTAGAATTGGTTCTCGACATGCATATTTAACTGAATCTGGTTTAGGTTCAGTAGTTATTATTCGGTGTGGGGTGTGGATGGGTGTGGGGTGTGGGTGTGGGCAGTGGCGTAGCCAGGATTTTGGGCTAGTGGGGGCTCAGCCCCTCAAAAATTTTCGACCCATCTTAGGTATATGAAACTTATCTGTTAACCCAATATAAAGTTGATTGTTGTTTATTCTGATTCTTTCCTCAAAATATAAGCTGAGCTAACAAATATAAAATGGCAAAAGATGTTCGATCTTCGTTCAATTGAAATAACAACGATAGATGAAATAAATGTGGAAACCTCTGATTTATATCCGAGAGTTATGTGTACTTCAAAAAGTGAATAAGACAAATCAGTCATCCTAGAATATCTGGATATAAAAATTAGCCGGGCAAACCTTTTCTATTGACACTTGAATTCAATTGGCTACTGCTCAACCAATAGGATTTGGGGCTGAATACAGCTCACATTTGAACTATTTGGTCCCGAACATACAGAAAAAAATAAAACGAATTAAGCAACGTGATTGGTCTATTTCGATTTAAATCGTCTTTTTGAGACGATTTATTCTTTAATTCAGTTTTAATTCACTTTGAATTAGTCGGTGTTCGGGGCCTTCGCCTTGATTTACTCTAAGAAAATCGTTTTCCCTATAACTTGATTTCTATTGATCAGTGCTCAATCAATGGAGCTTCGAGGCAAGTGGAGTACAAATTCGAGTTCTCCATCCCGAAAAACCCTGGAGTATCGCCTTTGCGATCAGAAGATAGAGCTCTAATTGTGGATCAATTAGAGCGTGGACAAGAACAGAACCGATTTCCGTTTATTTATCTTTGCAATAGGTGAGTTAGCTTCCTTGTTTCTTGATGTTTTATATACCGTTTTGTAGCTTGTGAAATTCTCTGTCGAATGGTATATAATAATTGGGGTTTTATGTGACCATGATCGGGAAAGCCTTTTACGAAAGCAAGGACTGGTTGATCCTCACATAGGAAAGCATAGGGGAAAATAATTATTTTTACAATAACTCACCAATGGCTCGGACACTCATTCTCATCTTCGTACTCAACCGAGATATTGTTGGGACAAAACTGTGTAGAAAATTTCATCATGATTGAACTCTGCTTTCAAAAGTTATCGCGTAAACAGCCGGTCGCTCTGCCAGACACACTGACCGATTCTAGAGTGTACTTACTTTTTGAGTACACAAAAATCTTGCTCTTGAATGGGAATAAATATGCGGTTGAACCTTCTTCTTTTTATTCTTCTTTTTTGCTCTTTTCTTGCCTATTTAAACGTATATACTGGAATGGACGAAGAGAACTAACTTGTAAAAATTAATTTTCTTCGTCCATTCCAGTATAAAAATTCAAATAGGCAAGAAAAGAGCAAAGAAGAAGAATAAAAAGAAGAAAGTTCAACCATATAGTTATTCCCATTCAAGAACAAAATTTTTTAACTCTAAAAAAACGTATTACGTTCGAAACGTCGGTTATAATATATATTGTTATATATTTATATTTACATTTATATATTTTACTCTCCATTACTATGTTAAATTTTTATATAATTGTGAATAATAATTTATATAAAATATTTAATAAATTAAGAAAAAGCTAAATTTTTTTAAAAATGATCAATACAACCTACCTAAGACGTATGAACTTTCATTCTGATTTCACAACAACAGACATCGCTTTACTCTGATAAAAACCAATCACGGCAGCCTCCTGCAAAGCTGAAATAAACTACTCATAACCTAATAAACCTCATTAAAACTTGTATTTGCATTTACTGTATTTTCTTTTATTCAAAGACATATGAGTTGCACAAAATTAAATATATATTAAAAGGTAAAATTGCAAACAGTAATCTATTTTGGTATAAAAAGAATATGTCTTTCTAAAATTTCGCCAGGAGGGGCTCAAAGGTCCGTAGGGGGGGGGGGGGGCTCAGCCCTCCCTGGCCCCCTGCTGGCTACGCCACTGGTTTATATATATCGGGTGGGGAATTAGGAGATAATATATTAAATAATGAAATAAATGTATTTGAAGAACATTGTGATGCCTTACTTCATTTAGCTCAAGGTGAAACAACAATTTATTCATTACTACAGCAAAAATTACCCGATATAAAATGTCAATATTTAACAATAAATATTCCAACTGTTGTTGATGTAAATCATTTTTGGGCTCAATATATTGATCGAGAAACCAATGCTCAAATGAAACAAATAAATGAAATCTTATCTCGTCAATTAATTCCATTAACATTAACACCAATTGAAATAAGAATGATGTGTGCTGCACCATTTATTCTTCAAACAACATCAAATCAATTTGTTAAACCTTCTCAATATTATCGTGCAAGAATAACACGTAGAATTGATAATGTTACTGTTGAAGTTTTCTTTGTTAATTGGGGAAATACGGAACAAATTCCTATTGATCAATGTAAAAATTTAAAAATAAATATTTTTTATTTTTATTTTTATTTTAGTACGTATACTTGATGCATCATTATTAAAAATCGCTCCTCTTGTATATAAATGTCAATTACGGTCAATTCGACCAAATATCGCTCGTTATCCATTAAATAATTGGCCAATTCAAGCTGTTAATTATGTTTGTTCACTTATTCTTGAACATCAAGTTGAAGCTGAAATAAAATCTGTTGCTCGATATATTGTTAACTGTGATATTTTATTAGATATACAACTTAATAATCGAAATCAACAAAAACCAAATGAAATAGGACGGACAACACTTCGGCAAAGTTTAATTAATAAAGGTTTTGCTGATACATCAAATGAAGAATATATTTTTGAAGTAAAAATAAAATTTATTAATTTAATTTAAAATAATTAATTATAAAATTGAGCATGATTATCGAATACATCGTGATGCTCAACGATCTGTTAGTCATACAACTGATTTTTTCATCAAGTACTGATCCAAGTAATGCATCAATACAAGTGATCAATGTTCAAAAAGAATTATGTGAAGTTTATGAACTAAAAGAAATTGATCAACCTGTTACATTAATTGGTTTTTATTTTTAAAAATAAATTGAGAAAATTTTTATTTTAATAATTCTTCTAGGTCCATATTCACCATTAGAAGCAAATCATCCTTCATGTCATTATGCAACTAAAATGCGTCGTGTTCAAATCGATGATGAATCAATAAATTCTGTTGGTTTAGAAGAAGAACAACATTGTCATTATCGTTGTTTACTTGTGGCATTTGATGTTCATCTTTCTCAAACACGACAGATTGTTTCACTTCGTCATACAATTTTAATGCCATCTATTCGAGGTTTACCAGCTTTAATTGCAATTGTTATTTCCACCAACTATTGAATTAAGGTTAATAAATAAAAGAATATTTTAATTTGCTTTTTTTTTCTTCTTTAGACTTGATGAAGAAGGAAAAATGAAAAGAGGAGTTTTATGTGGTTTAGAATTTAATCCAGTAACAAATACATCTTTATATCCTGATTATGATATGGATATTGGATTTGATGTACAAATATCAACCGAAGCTCTTGTGAGGGTATGTTTTCATTTTTATCTTTTAGTTTTTAATATATTTCGTTTTATAGATCAATGAAATTCGTAAACAAATTAATTTAGCATTATATAGTGCAGAATCAGCTGGAAATAAAGATTTAATGCGATCAGTTCGACGAACAACTACAACTAAATTACAAAAGTTTGTTTGATTTTTATTTAATTCAATCTAATTTATATTATAGGTTACTCGAAGCAAAACGACCACCAAATCGAAATAATTATTTTGGAACATTTCAATGGAATAGAGTAAAAATTAAAATTTAATTTGAAATCTTATTTAATTATTATTTTAGTTAAATCCTGATGATCGTGTTCCACAAATGACTGAAGATGTTTCACCTGATCATTTAAAACTATTTCCACTCCATGATGATGTTATAACATGTACAGTTGAAATTAATGATGAACATCGTTTAAAAATGATCTATCATCTTATTTGACTACGAGAAAAAGCAACAATGTTAGAGATTTTTTTTTATCTCCTTTTCTTTTTATCTTTTTTTTTATTTTAGTACGACATTTATGTGTCAGATTACTTGTCAATTATGTGATATGAATTTTAATTTTACTTCAGATTTATTTGCCCATTTGTCGTCAAGTCAATCAACATCGAGAACTTGTACGTCAACTTCATCTCACTCATTGTGTATAGTTTGTTTTTTTTTCTTTTGAAATAACTGTTAGACTTTTTTCATGTGTTACTGCTCTTTTTTGTGTTTTGTTAGTTTATAAGGAAAAATCATTATTATATAGAATAAAAACAATTTCATGAATCATTATAGTAATGATATGGCATTCGACAGTTGGATGTGTTTCCGCGTAAGATTTTCATACTATAAATTCTCTTGTAGAGTATTTGAACTGGAATCTCATGATAAAAAAGTATTTCAATCAAATGAAGAGAAGGAAGAAAATAAATATTGAAAATAGTAATAGTTTAATTCTATGAAAAAGAGAATTATCCTTTAGTCAAATCAAATCTGTATAATCGATATCTTAGATGCAACTGTTCTAACTATTATTGAAAAAAATCACACCATCATTAATTATACAAAAAAAGGTCGAGATTTTAAATTGAAATAAATTTTGCATTTAATTTTTTTGTTTTTAGGCAAATCTTTTTTATGCAATTCAACAGTAGATTTATCATGGCTTGTTGATCGTTCAATTATTTGAGATACACAAGAAGAAGTAAAAACAATTTCTCCAATTATTTCTGATGTTAATGTTAATACAAATATTCATCAATCTACAACATCACTTCCAGTAATTAATTCAAATACAGCAATGATTTCCCCATTAGCAACAATAACACCAACACCATCATTAGCAATTATACCACAAGTGCAACAAAATCAACAATCACAATCACAATTATCATTATCATTACCAAATTTACTAATATTATCATCGAATAATCTACTTTTATCAACACAAATAATGGCAATGATGAATTCAAATGCATCAAAAACATTAGCTTCAATAGTAACACAAAATACAACGAATAATAATACATTATCAATATTAACTTCATTAACATCGAATGAATTACATGCAAGTTATTCGTGAACTTTGTCGAACAAATCCTGAAGCATTTAAGTTTGTAGAAAAAAAAAGATTCGATTTTGTTTGTTTATGTTTTAATTATAGAGATTTACTAAAAGATTTAATAGTTCATATAAAAGATGCAATGGAAGTTAAACAAGAAAAAGTTCATCGAATGAAAAAACAAGATTATATTTGTTTTCATTCAAATTCATATATTTGAATTATTAGCTGATCGAGAAGTGTTTCGATATTGGTAAAATAATTGTCCAACTATCAAAATTTGTTTTTTTTACTTAATTTAGATTTTATAGTTATTTAAATGAAACAGAAGTAAAACGTTTATCTTCTCAAATATATCATAAATATCTTCAAGGTGAATTAAGTTCTCTTTAGTCTTGAAAATGAAAAAGGTTCAGATTCATATTAAATAACATTAAGGTTTGTTGAATTAATTGATTTTATTCTTCGATCAAGGAAATTTTTCTTGATTATTTTCGTCAAAAAGATATTAAAGCAAATGGAGAAGAAACAGACGTCTTTTCTTTCTTTTCCCTCGATATGATATCATCTCTTTCTTTTCATATGGAGAAGTGATATCATGTCGAGGAAAACAAGAGAAGATGGAAGAAAGAAAAGAACGCGTTGCATAGTAATTATAAAGTGTTTGCTTACAATTAAATACAAACATAAACAAAAAATGTCTTTCGACAACACATCACCCATGTCTTTTGATACGTTTTACGATGCTTTAAAACGAATAATGTTAAGCGTAAGAAAAAGCTTATAAGACTTAAAAAATATTTTAATGTTGATCTATTTTATTTAGGAAGATGGTTTAAAAGAGCTTCTTGAACAAACGATTAGATATCAACAATTTCAAAAACGAGTAATTTCAAGCAAAAGTGGTGCTTTTACTGAAAGACGCAAGGGGGAAAAAGCGGATCCCGAGATCCCAGGATCCTACGGATCCCAATAGATCCTGGTGGATCCCGGTAGATCCCACTGGATCCCGGAATTTGCTGGGATCCACCGGGATCTGATTTTTTCCTCTTGCGAAACCCACTGGGATCCATTGGAATCCGTTGGGATCTATTGGGATCCGGGGGATCCTGGGATCTCGGGATCCGCTTTTCCCCCTTGGAAAGACGTGTCAAAGATACGCAAGCACGTTTTCAGGAAGCAATTACTCAAGAAAAAATAATTCGAATATTAATTGAACACGTCAATAATCAACAGTGCTCAGTTCAACTTAGTAGTCAAACAACTGATAATTCAACATTACCAATTGATGATGTACCTGATGTTAGTCAAATACAATCATTAAGTACACCAAATCCTAATTCAAGTGAATTTGTACATGCCAGTACGAGCATTCTTAATTACTTGAAAACTGTACCACCAACCGGTGCTAGTATAGCAGACATTTGTAAACAATTCAATCAGTTTGGTGAAAAACAAGTTCAGTAAGTTTGACTTTTTTTTATTTTTATTAATATGAAATAAATATTTTATTTAGACAAGCAGTGGAATATTTGGAACAAGACGGTCAAATCTATTCGACAAATGATCGCCAACGTTATTTTGCTGCTCACATTTAAAAACTTTATTTTTATTTTTTTCTTCGATGTCAGATATTCATTCATCATTTATTAAATAAATAAATTAAAAAAAATATTACTTTCTTGCTGTTTTATTTTATGAAGAGATTTGATTTTTTTTTGGTCACTCTCTCACTTTTCTTCTTTTTGATAAATAATATTCATTTATATAAACTAGACATATCAATTGTATTTAAATCCATGTCATTAGTATTTGCTCGATATTCATCAAGTCTATGTGTTTGAATTGGTTGTATTTTCCAAGGTTTATAATCTGTTTTACTGGTTGTTGTGTCATCAAAAGGAGCATTTGAACGATAACGCATTGTTGATCTAATTCCATTGAACGTATTCGATCAGTTCAAACAAGAGAAAAAAAAGAAAATTTTGTCTTTTTTTTCGTACCATCTTTTGATATAAAATCTTCTCGATCTGTTATTAAAGAATATAAAGCCGATGAATTTGGAATATATTCTTCTCGTTTACCTTGAAAACGTTCTTGTTGAGGATGAGGAACATAGTCTGTACGATAACTAGTACGATCATCAAATGGCTGTTGAGAATGTAAAACTGATTGATCAGATCGAATAGATACTTCCACCAAGAAATGGGTCTGATGGTGGTCTCTCAAACGAACAAAAAGAAGGATTAGAAAAAATATTTGGTTCAGTTAATCTTACATATCCATTATCATGTTGACAGAGGCGTAGCCACGGGGTGTCCTGGATGTCCCGACACCCCCTTTGGGCAAAAAAAAATGTCTGAAGAAGGGTACAGGTCTAAAAAATAATTCATAAGTCAAAATTTTTTTTGATAGTAGGCACTCCCCCGAAGCAAATTTCTGGTTACGTCTTTGCATGTCGAGTTACTTCAATTCGATCAACTCCCCGTTTACGATAATCAACTAGAGAGGAAAAACGCCTATTTAATAACGAAACAATTCAATAGATTAAATATACTTCGATATATTGGATCACCTTCAACTGGAGCTTGAACTGATCGTTGAGCATCACATCAAATCGGTTTAGCTCGTTCGCCATCTTTTGCTAAATTAATATTAAAAAAAAACCTAATCTAACAAATAATATTTATTATACATGTATATTCTTTATTATAATTCATCAAAGAAACAAATTCTTCTTGATATACATATATTTCTTCTGGTCTGTATGAACATTGTTTATCAAGAATGTCTGATGTAATCATGTCTAAATCATCATTTGAATTAGATAATACTTATTTAATAAATCAAATATTGGATTTCTTTCAACAGATTCCAGTGTCATCATCTTTTTCCTTGTCGTACAACTATAATGACCAAATATTATCTTTAAATCGGTATGGTTCATAAGAATTTAGTAGAAAAGCGAAAGAAATAATTTTCTTTATAAAATCTATGTAAACAGTTTATTTTATTTCCCACAATTGTCTTGATTGACATATGTAAACATAAAAATAAAATCAATGATTTTTCTATCTGTCTGAGAAAATTGAACGAATTCATTATATTTATACTTGTGTTTTTTGTTGCACCATAGTTTAAAAAAAAAGATATTTAATCTTCTCCAAGTATTTTCTTTTATTGAAACAATTTATAACAAAGGAAAATATTCATGAAAATTTTCTGGACGAACAAAAGATTTACATACATCAAGACTTTTTAATTTACCAAAATTGAAATGCGTTGGATTATTGGTAAAATTATTTGTTATCATCGTGAGTGATTTATATTCCATAGAGAGATTTAACAAACGAGGTAGATAAGTATTTTTTTTCAAGAGAAATAATTCGAGATAGTCAACATGTGTATATTGGAGATCAAGAAATGTGAGATAAGGAAATGTGATCAATTTAGATGAATATTGTTTGTCTTTTATTGGATATCTATTTGATATATATAAGACATCGAGAAAAGGAAAATCATGAGAAATGATTTGAAATAATTTATATTCTAAAGGATCTCTACCACATATCGTTAATTCTCGAACTTTATGAAACATGCCGCCTTGAAAAGACTTGTCGAGGTTAACAAAATATTCGAAGTCGTATGGCAGTGAATAGATATGACATTCGCCATCCCATGCAGATGATTTCGTGTCAACATACCAAGCTACTTGTTGATAACCTCTTCCGATGAAACTATGTTGAATATCTTCATTTGACGGAAGTTCAACTCTAGTGTTATTTTTATTTTTGAAGACGGTTGTGTTGATATAAAATGTAAATTTTTTTAATTGTGTCATATGAATAAGAAATTGATCATATAATTGAATACCATCGATAAAAGTCGAATTAAATCTTCCTACATCTAGATATAATTTTAATTCTTCAAGATTTATCATTTGACAAAGTAATGGAACAATCAAAGTATCATAATTAAATGTCAGATAAAATGACGTGAATGAGAAAGATTTCAATTTGGGAAGTTTTTTCTATAAACAAAATAAATTTATTTGGTTTACTATTATTTCTATAAGCATGATCATTCGAAATTAAACTTACTGTTTCAGCTATATCTCCCATTGGGTCCACAACATTTTCAACGTTAATAATTAATGTTGATAAACAAGGAAAACGCCCATCAACCACACAACGACAATCAGCAAAATTCAAGACAATGATTGTCAATTTCATCAAAGTTGATGACATACTAATTTCTGATGACAGAAAAAAAAAGGAATCGCAAACTTTCGTGTGATAAACATATCACCAAAATTCAAAACAGTTAATTTTTTACATAAAGATAAGATTAATGCAATAATATTTAAAAGAGTATCCGACCAGGGGTCTACTGGTTTTTTTATATCGATATTAAGATGTGTTATTTGTTTGGTAAGAAGATCACGAAGAACCAAATTATCTTTAAAAAATAAAATAAATTTTTATCTAACTAGATCGATTATTTTCTTAGTTCAAAGAATCAAATACTATACCTGTTAAATATTGATAAATTATTTCTTCTTCAAAATTTATAAGCGATAATGAGTAAAGTCTAGGATAATTGGCAGCAAGAAGAATTTGTTTCATTGAATCTTGTTCAACAGTAAGTTTATATACTTCATGATGAATTCGAGGTAAGATTTTTTGACAAATTCTTGAAAGAAGTTGAGGATCCATTGAAGAGATTTGGTTATAGAGTGAATTCATGTTTGTAATAGTGGTCATATCAAGATGACGAATATAAAGAGAATCACGTACTAATCGATTAAATCGTTCGTTGATATCAGAAATTGAATAAAAAGCATCAACCATGTTGAGTTTCTTGAAAATAATGAATAAAACTTCATCAGGTAAATCAAGTATATTGTGTTGAACGTTATTAGATTTGTTCATGTTTAATTCATATAATGTAATCGTGTCAATCTATATATATATTTGCATTTCCTTGTTGACGTCCATCAGAATAATGACAGAGAAATATTTATACCGTCATGTTGTTCTATGAAGGAAGAATAATAAAGAGATTGAACCAATTGAAAATGAACTACCTAATAGAATTAGTGTTGCTAGATAGAAAGGTCAATCATCTTTTTTCATTTACTTTGAATTGGTTGAGCCTATTTGACCTCGAATGGATCATAGCGTTTTCCTTTCTCTTTTATATTTTCTATTATGATTTCTTATGGATGTATTCATCACTTTATTATTCATTTATTAAATATTAACGGCTTCATTTGACGATACAGCAATGTATGGAATAAAATATACACCAAAAAGTAATTAAAACATATCCAGCTACATTTCTTGAATAATTTTCACGCTTATTAGTTTATAGTTTTTTGATATTTCAAATTTAGGTTACCATAGTTTTGTACTTGATCATGTTGAACTAAATACTCATAAATTTCACCACCAACAACATGAAGTTTATCAAAGACAATTTTAACAACCAACTATTTCAGTTTAAGACAATGACTTCTTTTATAAGAAGAACAATCTACACTTTTTATCACCATATTTTTTTTGCTTTTGTAAATTCTTCATTTATTCTTTATACATTATTAGAGTTGTTTCATAACTGACTCCTACCGTGAATCTTTTTTTTTCCTTTTTGGAAGATACATATTTCGATCTCAGAAAAAACACTTTTGTTTTCATTGTTGAATACCTTCTCAGTCAGACAAAATGAATGAAAATACGTGTTTCTACGTGTAAAAATGTGCGCTTTTTAGACTTTAAAAAAATTTTGTTTTGAAAAACAAACGAGTTTGAAGGTGATAACGTTCACAAATGTCTTTTTTTCCAAAAAACAAGTTCGTTTTTTCACGGTAAAAATAGGGGTGGCCTATTTACATTTACGCCAATTTATTAAATCCGAAAATAAATTTTGAAAAATTTAAATTTAAAAAATATGTAAGTTTTTTCAATAACAAAATTTATACTTAAAATAAGCTTAAATTTTCCGAATTAAGAGTAAAACGAAATGTAAATTTTTATTACACCCAAAATTTATAATTAAAATAAATTTAAATTTTCGAAATTTACATTTAAAATAAATATAAATGAAATTAAAAAATTTTATTTATTATGTTGTTTCAAACAACATAATCCATATCAAGATCACATGTCTCTATCAATTATATTGTTTCTCGTTACGGTCCAACAGGCATGCTTTCAGCAGTTTATATTTCAAAAATAATTTTGTTCAGTAATTCTTTATTCCAGTGTTTGAAAATTATAACTTAGCCTTTAGGCATACTCGACATAAATGTTTTGATCTTTTCACACTTCAGATACAATCGAAAGTGTTAGCTGGATGTTCTATTTATCCGTATGAAGATAGATGCACCAGGTGAGCGATAGAAAGAGCGATAACTACCATTACCCATTATTTTACTCTGGTAATAATTATATATATTGTCAAAACGGAAACTACTTGGTCAAAAAGAATTGTTCGATCAAAATTCTTTAGATTATTCATGTAAGACAGGACGAGTTGTTTACTTTTAGTGGCACTAGTTTTTAGAAAACATCATTGTTCTCGCAAGATCTAATAACCATATGCTGAAAGACTCGATTATTTCGCAGCTTTCCATAAGTTTATCAAATGCAAAAATGAGATCTAAAACTAGGTTGTGATTGTTTTTATGATTCGAAAAATCCAGTTGAATGGGTAGTTTTCTCAAATACGAATCAGATTTTTAAATGTAATCGATTTCAACCTACTGGAGTGGCTATCATTTGGTTTTGATACACTATACCATACATTTAATATAAAATGTTGCTTTTATTCTGAGAGACAAGACAGAAAACTCTAATTTAGTTAAAATTTATTTAAATGTAAATTTCGAAAATTTAAATTTATTTTAATTATAAATTTTTGGTGTAATAAAAATTTACATTTCCTTTTACTCTTAATTCGGAAAATTTAAGCTTATTTTAAGTATAAATTTTGTTATTGAAAAAATTTCCTTTTTTTAAATTTAAATTTCGAAAAATTTAAATTTAAGATAAATTAACAGGAAAATGCCACCCCTGCTTTTTTGCTATCATATCGAAAAAATCGATTTTTTTCAAAAATTTGGATAAATATTGAGGTTACTGAAATTTGATGCATTTGACGTATTTTAAGCTTTATAGGTTTTTCTGGTATTTTTAAATCTAACTTTCCTAATTTTCACTACAAAAACATTGTTTAACCCCTTGACCGTTAAGTTTTTTTTAAAACTATCTAGTAAACTTTTTGTAAACTAACTTTTGATACACAAGAATATAATCGAATAATCGATATGAGACATCAGAATCAGTAGAAGGAGGTCCAATAGGTGCATGATGTTAGAGTCGACCTATAGTATACAAAGAAAACAAAGTTAAGGAATTATATTTTTCATCTTTTCCATAAAGAGTGCTCTGACGCTTATAGGCGTCGATAACAGTGAAGGGGTTAAAAACAACATTTTTATACGTAACTCAACGAGTTCTCTCTAACCATAGAAAAAAATCTTCTCAAATTTCGAATTGGCAGTGTCTTACTTGTACGCATATTAATCTGGTTATGTTTAAGAAATACTTCTCTTAATTAATTTTTACTATTATATGGATATTACAAATAAAAATAAATGATAAAATGAAATTAACTAATATAGTTCGTGCGCATGCGTGTTAATGCATTTTTCGCAAGATCATAAAATTGATTCGATTGAAGTTCCTAATTACATAAGTTGGAAAAGAACTAATGAAGAAAGTATGTATAAGAAACAATATTGGAAATCTTAAACAAGAAAAAAGAGAAATTTCAATGATAAATTTGATAAGAATAAACAAAAAGAAAAATATTGTGTAACTTCATCGGGAAGTAGAATATATAGACAAGAGAAAGACAAGCAATTTATGCATAATGCAACAATAAATAAGCAACGTGTTTTTTTTTCTACTTCGCAAGGGTATCATCACAGTAGATTGATTTTCTAGTAAAGTTCAAAACATAGCACACATTAAAAAGTGTGAGTATCTTGAGTACTTTGCTCTTGCTTGAAGCACTTAATATTAGAAACATTGCTTTACACTTTGCCTTACAATCAATAATAATGCTGCATTCTTCACATCACTTTTATTTTTATGATAGTGTATCGTGTTTCATAAAATCATATATAGTAACTACCAAAATCATTCGATCATATTTATTTTTAATAACTTTCTACTGCTCTAAACGCTAATAAGAATTTGAATAGCGATTTGCATAGAGAATTTCATTTACAACAACAATTTTCGAAGATAAAAATGATTGCTAGTTTTTCAAAGATAGAGTTTGTGAAAAACTGAAACTGAAACTTTTCATTTACTGAAATTCTGTTTGAAATATCCAAAATGATATAGCAAACATTTCTCTTCAAAATGAAATGTCTTTCAGTTGTCTACGACATTCTTTGATCGAGATATATCAAACTTACAGAAGACGCAAAAGTCGTTTGTCTACTATGTCGTTTAGAAATACCATGTTTGTGTCTTCAGTAACATTAATATATCTCGATCAAAAAACGTTGTTGATGACTGGAAAACGTTTCATTTTGTGAAGAATTGTTTGTTTTATCATTCTGAATAATTCAAAGAGAATTCTATTTTCGAATTAGAAGATGAAAAAACTTTTATTTCAATTGTTCAGAGATCCCATCCTTAAAAAATTAGTAATCATTTTATTTTGCGAAAATTCTATTCGAAAATAAAATTTTCTACACAAATTGATACTTAGATACCATATTAGCATTTATGGTAGTGGAAAAAATTGAAAATAAATCTGATTGAACAATTTTTAGAGCCATTGTATAACCGTTTACACATCATAATGGCAAATTTGTCTTGAAATAGCAAGACTGAGATTGGGTGTAGATAAGATTCTCTTGCATAGTATCGAAATATAGATTTATTAAGATTATAGTTTATGATAAAATATACAATAAGATTTCTTTTCTTTATATATAAAAAAATAGAATTATATACAGAAAAAATTATTAAGTGAAATAAAAATTTAAATTGTTTTTTATTTATCGTCAAACATTTAAGTATTTATGTACAGTTTAGTTATACGAAAACGTGTACCTTCAACAGGTGTTTCAGTATCTTGATTCATTAATTTCTGATAAACGAAAACTTGTTTCAGGTAATGAAGTTCGTCGTTGAAATTGTACTCGCATTTTTTGACGTTCATTTTTGGATGATTTATTAAATTCTGATATAGACTTTCTAAATGCAGTCAATTGTGGTACACGTAATGAATTTGTTCGATTTAATGGTGATAACCAAGATATCATTCGTCGTCGTTCTTGTTCACGAACAAATAATTGATACCATTTAGGTGGCAAAAGTTCAATAATTTCTTGATAAAATGACATATGTTCTTTATCAGTTGATGTTTGTACATTACAAGGTTGTAAACGAAATAGATCAATAAATACAGTTGGAATATCTTGATATATATCAATAAGATCATTGATAAGTAAACGTACTTTTTCTCGACTATTAGAATTTAATAAATCATAATCATTTTTATCAAATATATCAAGATCATATTCTTTAGCAAATGTTCGTAATCGAAATAATTTTCGACATGATTCTGTATCAATATTTAATATATTATTATTATTATTATTATTATTATTATTATTATTATTTTTAGTATTATTTAATTCTAGATCATTTTCTATTGATGATGATTGTTGAATTTCTTGATGTTGTTGATTATTATGAGAAGTTATTGATTTAAATTTTTTCCAACGATTCATAATTGATTGTGCTAATTGACTTTGTTGAATTGTTAATGTTGATAAATTATCTGTTTCTAAATTATCTTCATAATTTATTTTATTATAATCACGTGCAACTTTAACATCATGATGAAAAAAATTTGCTATATCTTTATTTGGTTGATGTAATGGAACAACTTCTTTTATACGTAATATAAATAATGCCATTATTATAATACAAATTATATTAATTATTGTTAATAATAAACTACAACCTGCGAGAGCTGCTGCTTCTCTTACTAGATTACATGTATAAAGTGGTTGATAATCATTATTAATATATGTTTTACAATTAAGATTTGAATAATATTCTTTTTTAGTATTATTTAATGAAGAAGAATGAGCAGCAGCAATATTTGAAAATGAAATACCAAGTAACGCATAAGCAAAAAGAAGTCCACAATTTACAGCTGGTGGAAGAAGAGAAGCTAGAAAATGATTAATGGAAAATAACAACTAAAATCTTATGCAATAAAAACGTATGTGATGCGGGCGGGACAACAACCATTAGTAGATCATTCTGTACTATATGTGCTATATCACTGTCCGATCCGGATCGAATTACAAAAATATTTTTGGATGTTGTTTTTTCATTTAAAACTGCTATAAGAGAGTGTGGAAAAGCTAAGTAGAAAAAGAAATTATGTATCGCACAATCTTCTACTTTACCGACTTTTCTTTATTGACATTGGGCAACGATGAATAGCGAATACATTGTTTACTCAATGGTGATATAAAGGTCATAGGTTGTATATATAAGAAAAGAAAAAGTTCAATTACATAATTGTGTTGTCCTAATTACGGCATATATGCGAAATATCAAGGACAAAAAGAAGTTAAAAACATATTCTTCTTTTCGAACTAAGAAAGGAAAGGAAGACAAAAGGATTGAGAAATTGATTTTCTTCAAAAGCAAAAGGAAAGTGATCGATGCCAAAATTCGATTCGAGTCAAGTCGGGTCACAAAAATTTGACCTATGTCAGATACTGCCTATACCGGCAATCAACCTGTATTGGTTTGATACTTAAACGGTTATCTATCCTTTAACAGCTATTCTACCGCGGTATATCGATTAGAGACCGACGGTTCGGATTTTGATTCTCCAAAAGAAGTATCTAAAGAACCATTGGTCTAATAATAGTATACAAGATAACTGATGTAATAATTTTTTTTCCTAGAAATTTTAAAGTCATATTTCATTTTTCAAGATTGTTAGTATTTATTATTTTTGAAAAAGCAATGTCGTCGGAAGATAAAATAACAAAGAGAAAGAATAAGAATATCATGACTGTTATTCAGCTGAACGTTTGTGCAAACATTGTGGATGCCTAGTTACACATTTAAAGAAGTTTCAGCTTTGTATCAGATTCTTAGTAGAAGCTGGGGTAGTTTTAGTATATTTATAATACCTATTTTTGGAGTCTATCGCATTTCCAATGATCTTCAATCAACTTGACTGAAAAAATTCATACTTTTTTCTTTATTTAACAGAAGACACAGAAATCTAGTAACTCTTTTTTTAATTTTCTCCTTTCGCTAGTTTTCAGGCATACATTAGTCAAAAACTCCTCATGAAAGCTGAGAAAATTTATGAGAAAAGCCAAGTTTCGATAAAATTTTTTTCTTTGGTGCAGGTCATTTTTGAAAAAAAAACGAGCTTTCAAACAAAAAAATAACATATTAGTTTATCTTTTAGTATGATAGAATACCACTTGAGACTCATAACCAAACAATTTCTACACGAAAAATGACTTTTTCTGGCAAAGCCTGACTTTTAAGAGGGACATCGCTCAAAGTCATAATAATTATGAAAATGCACATCGGTCTATCTAATCGTACTCTTTCTAAAAAAGTGCTTTTTAGACGACTCTAGATTTTTCATAGGCCTTATTCATACTTATAGTTATGTTTGACCCCTCTTTTCATCCAATTGTAAAAAATATACATAGATTACGACCAATGCAATTATAGATTGATCTTTCCAACTTTAAACTATACAACACTTGAACAGCTTCCCAGTTGTCAGCAAAAAATTTTCGCTTCTAACAGTTGCGAATAGAAGAGATTGCAAAAAATTCCTGTTCCACTTTTTTCCGAACCACCGACCTCTAATACCGATAGTTGTTCTCTAACCGATAATTTACTGCTAGTATATCGACGGTGGTGCAAACAAACGTGTGACATGGGCAAAAACAAACAAACCTGAAATAGCAACACCAACCAGTGAACCTAATTATACAGAAAAAAAGATTATTTTTTTAATAAGATGATCAGACTTTCTTACCAGTATTTCCACCAAGTACTGAAAGTGCAACACCAGCTCCACTAGGTAAAGCAATGAGAACACCAACCCATAATCGTTTAATATCACCACGTGATTTCATTTCCGATGTTGGAAAACTTGTCGAAGCTCCCCATTTTGTTTCAGCAAATGTTGTTAATAATCTATAAAAAAAAAAAATAAATAAATAAAACTTGAAAATGATTGAAATTCTTCGTCTGTTTCTAATTTCTTTTACCCAAGAATAAATCCGCAAGAAATACAAATAATCAAACCAATTAATTCATTTCGTAAACCTCGTCTCCATAATGAATGTTCACGTACAGAAAGGCCAAATACAAAACCTAATATTGGATTCATTAATGGACTAACAAGCATACTAGCAACAATAATAACGGTCGAATTTTCAAGTAGACCTAATGCAGCCAACATTGAAGCAAGACATATTAAAAGAACAAAATCAAATGAAAGCACTGTTGATGCACGAATACTAGCAACTACTTGATGAACCATTAATCGAGCTCGAACACTTTTTTTAAAATTTGATTCATTAATACGTTTACGAATTTTATTTGATAATTTTAAATCATTAGATGTTGTACTATTTATTTTATTTTTAACATTAGTTGATAATGATTCATTTGTAGTTATAGTTTCTGTTGAAGATAATGTTGATATAGATTCCTTTTTATCATTAGATGGTCCTTCAAGAATAAAAGTTGTCGGTAAAACAAATATTTTTGATTGATTTCTTGTACCAATACCACAGTTAATTAAATCCTGTAAAATACGATCACTAACAACTCCAAATTCGACATGAAATGTAACTTGATAAGTTTTTTTATTATCAGATAGCATCCATGTCGCTTCAATATGATTTTTTCCAGCAAGATAATTTGTAAGAGTAACACATAAAGATTGTATTGATGTTTCTTGTGAATGTTCATTGTCTTTTTCAATTTTTGAATTACTATCCATTGATATAGAAGAGGGAATGGAATCGGAAGTTGCTGATCTAGGTCTGCATTCAGTCGTTGGCTTTTGAAATAGAAATTATAGTAAGAGTAATTAGTGAAAAAAAAAGAAGCAAGTTAGAAAACTTACTATTGAAGTTGTTAGCTTAATGACACTAGATATTGTTGGAATAATAGAAATTTCTTTATCAAAGTCATTGGGTAGAAGGATAATAAATAGAGCATAATCATTCGACATGATTAGATAATGTAAAAAACCAAAAATGGTAATTTTAAAAAAAAAACCTGTTCTTTTTTAATCTAGTTTTTACTTTTTTAATTCAAATTTAAACATCTATAAATAAATCTAATTAATGTTTTTGAATGTCAATATTAGTTGTGGTAAGATAAGTATAAAAATAACATGTATTGGGTACACAACAACAAATCAATATTTGACAATGAAGATAATAAACCCACGACAAGTAATCCAAGCAAAATAGAAAAATAAATTTACGATATGAAAGTTTCATTTTCGCGATTATAAAAGAACCTTGATCTATAGTATTTTCATTTTCATTCGACATCAATTTGTTTAGCATAAAATTGAATAGATATCGAGCTACTTATTTCTTGTCGAGTCCTGTTATCTAAGAATCTGACATGTCTAAACCATTCAATATAATAATACGTGCGAGAATCTTTCAAATAGCTATGGATCTATTTGTATTATTGTTCTTATCATTCTTGAACAGAAGATAGTTTCATGATTTTTCTAACTTCGTACACGAACTTTTACTTTTATAGAATAACAGAGCATAAGTTAATATACTGACTTTTTTTTTGGTGCAAATACGCTTTACTGAGACTAATGCATTCCTTTTTTTTTAAAATCTTTGATGAATCTGTTAGATGGTTTATTTTTGTTAGTTATAAAAGAAAAATTGAAAGGAAACAAGTAGATAATTAAGTCTATGGAGTTTTTCGAGTGTTTTTTTTTGGTCTTAAATCTTGATCCATCATTTACAATAAAATTGTTGAATTTCGTTCGATATGTTTAACTAAATTCTACATATATTACAGTATTATTGTCTGTTCTTCAATGAAATGAAAAGTAACATAATCACTTTCATTTTGTGTTGCTAAACGTACATCAATAAGACTGTCAAATATTTGTCATTCCATTTGCTCAATCGTACAAATCGTTTTTGTAAGATCATCGTCATTGATTGTAATATCATATGAAAGTAATTCCCGATTGCGTACATTATAAAAATCAAGTCATTTTTTCCTATGATGACGTTCTTCCTCAGCTGAATCAAAAACAAAATTGCAAACACATGATAAACACCACGTGTACCCAAACGATGTGGAAATGGTACATTAAGCATTAAATACCAGAAATTGTTTATTTTTACTTGAATTTCATGTACTCTTGTTATTTTAGTACTATATATTAAGCGTGAAAGTAAAATGACAAAAATGTTACTAACAAGTATCAATGATGATATCATTGTGAACAAGAACTAAACAATCACATAAAATGAAAAATGTACAAAATACTATATATGCAAGTGCGTAATTTCTTATATATTATTTAAAAACAGAACCTTTAATAGAAATATATATTTCATTTGAATATTTGTACGTCCCAGTATTTCTATTTTGTCTAAATTATTTAAGAAGTCCTAACAAAATTAATTAATAATCATGATAAAAAGTTAATATATTTTTCTATCGCTTGGCATGTTTAGTAATATTTTCTCAACAGCAAAATGATAACTATCACACTATCGAGCAGATACAAATGTTATAAACAATAGTGAGTCCTTTGTATCTTTTCCATAGTTTTCCATTGATCATCAACCAGATGAACAATGATTTAGTAGAAAATTTTCATTAATGAATTTGTCATCATATTTTTCCTTGTATAAATAATATAGAAGTGTAAAGATCGACTAAAGAATATATGTTGTTATTTATCTTCAATAGTATGAGCAGAATATTTAGTTATCTGTGATTGATATATTGAACTGTGCTTTATGCATTATATAAAATGTTCAGATATATCATCATTATGATATATCATAAAATACGATGAAGGATGAACATCATTATATTTAGTAGTTTGTGTTTGAATGACGGATGTTTCTTCAAAAATGCGAGTAAATACAAAATAATAATCAATAGGATTTTGTATTATTTCAATTGAAAAAGAGAAAACAACAAATATATTGATGAGCAAATAGATATCTTTACTTATTTTATTCTAGTATATGTAGAATAAAAACTACAATCCAGTCAGAAAACAGGCTTATACTTATAAGAATGATATTCAGTAATGTGGCAGCTATCAAAGTGACATGAATACACATTTGTTTCGTACTAGACTTGTGCGGAATCAATTCATTTTTTTGGATTCCAATCTCGATCTAGAGAAAACTACTCGAGAATTTATTCGTATCCCATCCAGAATAATTCTTCAATACTCGTTTTTTGATTTATTTAGTCAATGACTAGCACTTTTTTGGTTCAGGTCTCTTGAATTATGTTCTAATTCATATGATTTATAAGACAATTTGCTTAAAGCTAAAGACCATTTAAGGCCTATCCATTGTCAAAAATCATGATTTTTGGTAAATTTGATTTTTACGCAGTTAGATAACCGCCAATGTCTACTTTCAAAAATCATACAATTTACCAAATTTATTATGTTTTTTCATGGTTTGTTCTGTATACTGTTTTATTAAGAAAAAAACTTTGAATTCCTAGACCAAGCTTTGTTTCGCGTTTTTCTCAAAGTAGATTTTCCTATTTTTTCCTGTTCTTATATTAAAGGGAGAAAGTCTTTTTACGCAGAGACATACTTTTTGATCCTTGATGTTATAATAGCTGATGAACCAGTGTGAGACATGGGTCAAGTTTTTGTGACTCGAATTGAATTCTGTTATCAATCACTTTTCTCTTACTGTGGAGAAAATCAATTTCTCAAACCTTTTTTCTTTCTTAGTTTGAAATAAAGGATATGTTCTTAACCTCTTTTTGTTCTTGATATTTTGTCTATATTCTGCAGTTGGAATAACACAAGACCTTTATATCACTATTGAACAGACAATGCACTCGCTATCCATCGTTGTCCAATATCAATAAAGAAAAGTCTGTGAAGTAGAAGAAAAGATCGTGCTATACATAATTTCGTGTTCTATTAATCTTTTTCACGTTCTCTTATAGAACTTTTAAATGAAAAAACATAACATTCCAAACGCCTTTTGTATCTACAAAATGTTTAGATGACAGATCCACTTCGACATTCAAAGATTTTTTCGTGATCCAATCTGAGCCGGAGACTGTTATGAACAGTTCAATATTTTCAACGGAATTTTTTTTCTGTAAACTATTAAGATCCGAACACACATTCTCTGAAATTTTCAGTCAGATCAATTGTTCTGAGGAGAAGAGAGCTTAACTATAATCTTTAGTTTCGGTCAGGACAACTTTTTTCTCGTAGTTCAGATCTCGGTGACCGAGACCGGGACTAAAATTGACCTCTCCCACACCTCTCTATTCCAGACTTCTTTTTTATGAATCTACAATGTTAACCTTAATTTGAAATCGAATGTCAGCATGATAATACATTTTCTTTCGTTCTATGCAAATACAAAAATAATTTTACTTCATTATTTATCTCAATAAAAAAAAAAAGAACGCATTTTCTTTAAATAGGTCATTGTATTGCTGCTGCTGTTTTCAGAAATATCTAAATATTTTTTCCTCATTCATTACGTTTTTTGTGTTATTCAACATCCAAACATCTCAAAATGACGCTCGCATGCGTCTTAATAGATATCATGACGACACTTTCTTTTGAGATCGATGTCGTCCAAATACACGATCTCGGAAAAAAAAGTATCATCGTTTTAAATACACGCACACACATACTGTATAAAGAAAAAGGGCAAAAAATATGCGAAGGAAAAGAAAAAAAGACAGCGACAGAATGAGAGAAACATTGAAATGAACAAAAAAAAAATTAAAGTTAGAAATCGATAGAAGTAACGAAAACCGGCGCTGCTGACAAAAAAAAAGAGAAAAAAAAGAGTAAATCAGCGCTCAGTTCTCGTAAACGTATGCATATGAAATGAAACGAACATAACATTGAACGATCAAACAAAGAGCAAAAAAAAAAAGACATAGTTTGTTTGTCAAAAAAAAAACCAGGCATCGTGTGTGTAATGTATCATTTGATGAATGAGATTGCGCGTCACAAGGAGGGATGTTGCTTATTGAATTTTAATTTTCATTTCATGACGTACTGTCCCACCAACTCGGATCCTGTTGACGATTATTACCATTACCGCCAGCAGATTGTTGTTGGAAACGATCATAAGTACTGCCAGTTTGTTGATCACCAGACCATATATTACCACCGGCACCACTATTGGATCCATCCCATTGTTGCTGATGACTATTATATCCGCCTGTTGCACTGCCCGGTCGGCTACCACCACCGCCTCGATTATTACGTGATTGTGCTGGATTACGATAATCACGTGCACCAAAGCCACCCGGCCTAAAAACAAAATCAATAAAATATTGAGTTTTATAGAATCAAATAAATTTGATATATACCGTCGACCACCACCATAATTCCGTCTAGTATAATTATCCTTTTTGGCTTCTTTCGCCAAACCTTCCAACCATTCAGGCACTTCTTGATGTGATTCACTTAGAATATCGAGTAGATCAACAGCGATATTACGATTTTTTTCGTTGAAAAATGATGTTGCTTGACCTATATAAATATATGAAAAATAATTTTATTTAAAATCTTTTTTTTTTTCTTACCTAACATGCCAGCACGACCTGTTCGGCCAATACGATGAACATATTCGTCGATGTCTGATGGCAAATCAAAATTGATAACATGCTTGACATTCCTAAACAAAAGAAAAATATAAATAAATCTATATTGATAATATTATAGTAAAAAAAAACAAGCGAATATCAATCGAATTAGACTGTAATTCAGTTGTTTTCAGACAGATTCAAAACATCTAACGGATAGAGTAAAAAATTTTCACATCAAGTGTTTTTCAAAGATAGTCTATAATCTCTTCTATAAACTTGCCAATGTGTAGCTGTTAGAGTTCAGTAATTCCAAAAAGTACCCAGAATCAAAACGGCGGTTTCAATTCGCTTCCAAAACTATCATGTGAAACTAAAACTGTTAAATCATCAGAGAAATACGAAAATTTTAAATCTATTTTGACAAATTTTCACTATTGAATGGTTGAGATTAAAGACGACATATACATATGAGTATTTCAAGAAAATAAAGATTTCTCGACATAGATTTACGAATTTTTCTATCTATCTGATGATTTAACGGTATCGATTCCAGTTGTTTGGAATCATCAAACTCTAGTGACTGTGATTGAAGAGTAGAGCCCTGCATCGGACTTGGAAAGCCAACTCAGACTCTGTCGAAGTCACCAAAAAGAAATCACTTCAGAATTATATCAGGAAAAAAAATCAAATACCTTTACTGTTACATAGAGACACTCATTAATAAGTAGCATAAAAAGAAGTATACATACTAGTCAAAAATATTTTTCGAGTTTCTCGGAGTCAGAGCTGCAGGAGTGAAAATTTTGGTTGTCAGAGCGAAAAATTTTGACTCCAAAGGGCTCTACTGAGGAGAGCCAACACCTACACTCTAATTATCTGACTGCTTTAGACTTTAACATTGTTGGAGATATGAAGAATTTGAAAAATTTTCCAAAGTGCATTAGAAACTTTGAACAATTTTCTATAAAATCATGTTAAAAGATTCTGCTTGAAACATACATCGGTCAAATTGTTACAATTGTTCGAAAAAAATTGTAACTTTGAAATTAACGATTTTTGCCATCTGAAAATATTTCAATTAAGCTTAAGCTAAGGAAGTGAAATGTTTTTTTGCGACAGGTATAATCAATAGAGTTTTGAATGAGCTATCTACTCATATATTTGGATTTAAATTTCTCTTTTGTTATAGAAAAAAACTATCTACAATTGAAACAAGTTATAAATAGTGTTTATATAAAGAAATCATGAATTATCTTTCAAAAACAAAACATCATTAATGTCAAACTTTTGAGTTATATTTGTAATTTAACATCAATTGAAACAGAAAGATACTATAGGGTATTCCAGTAATCAGCCATGAAATAAAATCGCAATAACTCTTCAACGATTTACATGAGATTTTCATCATATCATAGGATATTCTCGGAAGTTTTGTTTCATATAATTTCATTCATCAATGATCAGCATCAACACCGAGGCATGAAACTATATGATTCGAAACACATGGTTTCATGCCTTAGAGTGAATATTGGTCATTGATGAGTGAAATCATATGAAATAAAACTCCCGAGAATATCCTATGATATGATGACAATTTAATTGTGAATTGTTGAAGAGTTATTGGAATTTCAATAAGGTCATCATGCCCAAAAAATCGATCTTGTACGAAGTACATTCAAATCACGTAAAATTTCCAGAATATATTGAAGCTATAATGAAGAGGCTATGACGAAATTTTCAATTCTATACAAAGATATTTTTGAGAGATATTCAACAAACAAGAGTCGAAAATAGCTCATTAAGCTTAACGTATATAAAGATAGATATATGAATGTCTATGTCGAAGGGAAAATAGTCTATTAATGTTTTTTTTTTTGAAATAACAAAAGAAAAAGAACAACGACTTACGGAATATCAAGACCACGAGCGGCTACACTTGTTGCTACGAGAACAGGTGTACGACCATTTTTAAAAGATTTCAGTGCTTCTTCACGTTGAGCTTGTGATCGATCACCGTGAATACTGTTCACGGAATACTGATGATTACAAAGAAACTCTTCAAGCATATCAGCTCCTCGTTTTGTCTCGACAAATACTAAGGTTAATGTTTCTAAAATATTTTATCATAAATATAAACTTATATATAAATATAATCTGTTTGTTAGTTTTTTTCTTTTTTTTTTTGTTATATTACCAGATTGAATATTGAGTAGATCAAGTAAAAATGAACGTTTTTCGGCTTCTTCTACCCATACAATTTTTTGTGTTATATTTTGTGATGTAGAACCCACTCGACCAATCGCCAAAAATACATACTCATGTAGAAAATCACGTGCTAATTCCTATTTTAAAAAAATCAACTTTTTTTTGAAATATTATAAATAAAGAAAAAAAAGAATCAAACCTGAATTTGTTTTGGAAAAGTAGCCGAAAACATTAGCGTTAAACGCTGGCCTGTAGATTGCATATCTGACCGTTCAACGATCTCACGAATTTGAGGCTAAGAAAAATTAAACATAAACAAAATTTTTTTTTCTTTCTTCATAATTCTTCTTACCTCAAAACCCATGTCCAGCTTTAAGAAAAAACAAAACAAAACAAATACATTAGATTATGTTCAATAATAAAAAAGAAAAACTTGACTTACCATGCGATCAGCCTCATCCAGTACCAAATACCTTTTAAAAGTAAATAAAATAATCAACAATGAAATAAAAAAAAGCACGAACACAATTATTTACCGAACATTGGCCAGCCCAACACGACCACGTTGTATTAAATCATTAAGACGACCTGGTGTAGCTACTAATAAATGAGCACCTTTATCCAAGTCACGTGTTTGAAAACCAATATCAGCTCCACCATAGACGACACATGAACGAACCATAGATCGATAAGAAAACTAGACGAAAAGAATTATTATTATTTTTTTCTCTTATGATTATTTCTTAAAATATACTTTTCTTGCTTCATCATAAATTTGTGAGGCTAATTCACGTGTTGGTGCCAAAACAAGACAAAGTGGATATTGTTTACGATTATTTCCCGATTTATTTTGAGGATTACGCACTGGGCCTTCTTGGAAGATCAAATGCAATATAGGAAGAAGAAATGCGGCCGTTTTGCCCGAACCTAAAGAAATAAATTTCATTTTAATAGGTAATGAGAAAAGTTTTAGACAAAAATATTTGTTCACGTTAGAAAATATTTCCTAAAGACTAAAACTTTTAGTTTCGAATTGCAATAGTGAAAGTACATTATTTTTCGTTCAAATTAATTTATTAAGCTTTTCAAAGATTATTTCACTTCTCTCGAACAAAAATTTCTAAACTCATATTTGAAAAGAGCATCGTAACTCATAACTTTTAACACGACGGAAATATTTTCTAGCGTGAAGAAACGTCTTGTTAATCATCTATTATTTTTCAATCATACCAGTCTGAGCACAGGCCATTAAATCACGTCGAAGTAAAATAGTAGGTATAGCATAACGTTGTACAGGTGTTGGTCTACCATAATTACATAGATTGATATTATTTTTAATAATTTCACCAAAATTACAATCTTCAAACTATACAATAATAATAAAAAACAACAAATTACAAAATAAATCTTTAAAAAAAAAAATACAAACTGAATCAACAGGTGAATGATCCATATGTGATGATTCAACAGGAATATCATTATAAAGTTCAAAATTAATACCAGCAGCTTGCAAACCAAATAATTCTCTATAGATATTTATATGAATTTTATTTCTTTTTTTTTTGCTTTCGAAATTTATTCTTATGAAGATAATGCTTCAGATATCCTCTTCCGATTTCAATGATTTTCTTTTTGCCTATAAATACTATATAGTCACGCAGGTCCTGTTTGAGAGTACAAGAAACCTAAAAGAATTCTTCCTCATGCATTGCCCTTTTGAAGTTATTTCGATAGCCTAGTCAACTTTCAACGGGAATCTAAATCCTTTTAGGATTTTTATAAGGGCATAATGTAGTGTCTATAGTTAAAAAATCATTGAAATTCGAAGGGATACATCTGAAGAGGTTTCTTCGTTAGTTGAATATTTACCTTTCAAGATTAGCATTAGGTGGTAATGGTGTACTCCAATCATTACCAGCTGCATCACTTGATTGACCACCAACATGTGAATGATATGGTTTATGAGAATCATGGTCACGTCGACCATAATTATTATCACGTTGCCCACTGTATCTATTACCACTATTATCACGAGTATTTCGATTATTATAATTATTAGAAGAACCACTTCCTCCACGATATTGATTGTTACTATTACCACTATTAGAATTTGTCATTTGTCGTTCAGCTAAAATAGCATCCCAACGACCACCTGCTGATGATTGTTGATCAGCAGGCACACCTCCACTACCACTCGAACCTTGACGACTAAGAGTCTGTGATAGTTGTGATGTATCATTAAGCCTATGATCATAGCAAAATTATTAATAAAAAACAAAAACAAAAACAAAAAGAAACAAACTTACGATCGATTTTGTACTGGCATTTGATTTTGTGAAGGTTGACCATAATTTCGATTATCAAGTTGTTGTGATGTATTCATTGGACGTGGTATTTGTTGATAAGTATTTGACATAGGTTGATGATACATTTGTTGTTGTTGTTGAGATGACATTTGTGGTGTTTGACCGTAATAGGGTTGTTGTGGAGGAGGATGAGAATGAAGAGAATTACCACCACTATAATTATTACCATAATTTTGTTGTGAAGGTGATGAACCCCTATTGACTGATCCTCGATAGCCACTAGACATATTGCTATTATTAGCATAACTACCACTAAAACAAAAACAGAGAACTAAATTTGAAACAAGCATTTTAATTATTTACTTTTGCGTATTCATTCGATTCTGTAAGTGAGGAGGTCGATAGACTTGTGTAGAAGGTTGTTGTTGTTGTTGTTGTTGTTGAAGAACTCCTCCACGATTGTATCCACCGGCATAGTTATTATCATTACTACCGTGTTCATTATTATTATTCTGATATCTTGAATTTTCATAGGTACCGCCGCGTATTTGTTGTTGCGACGATTTTGCATCTTGACTATAAAATAATATTTAGAAAATAATTTTAAATGACAAAAAAAAATATAATGAAATTCGTTACTCATTGCTCATTGTATATTATTGCTTTTGTTGTTATTCGTTTTTCTTTTAGGACGGGGAGTTTTTGATGTTAAAGGACTTTTTTCTAGAACTAAAAGTAAACAACAATGTTATAATTATTGGAAATTTTTATTTAAATTCAAAGAAATATTATATCATCATTCAAAAATAAAAAAATATATAAATTTACATGCAAACATATGATAATTCCCATTGGAAATTTGAAGGCTGAACGAACTAACATTTTCTCTCCCATTCTCTTTTCTATTCTCATTTGTTTGTTTATTCTTTTTTTTTCCGTCTCTCTCTTTCTCTTTCTGATCGTCTTATCATCTTTGTCATTTGCCAATGTAACGTAAGATATTATTAAAAAGTAAAAATTGTGTAAAATGATTTGATTTTTATTAAAATATTAACCAATTATGAATCGTTTATTGAATCCCTTCAAAAAATCTAATAAAATCTGAAAGAAAAATGAAAGAAAATATTTGATAGAGGACGCTAGAAACCGAACAATAAAATATTTTCATTTTTCTTTTTGCCGTCTATTCATTAATCGCTAACTCCAAATCAGTATAGTTCTAATCATAGTAATTATCTAATGATAAAAAAAAAACAGAATCATTAAAATTCTTTTGAATTTTATCCAAAAGATAACAGAATTTTTGGTCGCTAAATGATTTGAGATACTTTTGATCACCAACTTTTTTCAGCATTCATTTCACATTATTATTTCTCTATAAAGCATAGGTACTGCTTCAAGATGACGACAATCTCACCCTAGCATTCTTTGATGTTTCCATGTTCACGCTGTGTTTTTTCTACTGTCAATCAAACTAACTAGTTAAAGATATCGTTGGTCTGGATAAGATTATGTAGAAACCAAACAATATATACATTACAACATTAACCTAGAAAACAGTATTTTCGGTACTTTTCATAATGAGCGACATCCACAATCTTTGATATGCACTGCTAGTTAGACCTATTATTGTATAAACTATTGTCGATCTGGAAAAGAATTATATTTTTTAATGGATATGTAGTTGTTCTACAAATACACGTACTCCATTCATTGCTTTGATCGTACATCAATCTGTTTAATCCCTCAAAACAAAGTAGTAAATATGGATGAGAAGTTGTGTAGATCGTATAGAAGCATTCAAGAAGAGATTTTTATATGGTATATAACATAGAAGCGAAATTACCAGGTGATGAACTAATACCTATTATTAATGATGATGAACAAAATATTATCACATATCGTGTGCAATAAATTAATCAATTAATTCAATAACATCTAGATTCAAATGCTATGAAAATGAAAATTTACTACGACTATCAGTTGCAAGATCATATTGATCAATTATAACCAAATGATTGGGCTTTAATACACAACAAAAACAAAAACAAATTTCAACCTCACTGAATTGGTCAATACAGAATTAGAAAACTTTGTCCAAACATAGCAATTAGAAGATGTCAAAGAACATATGAAATTAGATTTAATACATCGTGATATGTTAAAACAAACATATGTATAAATCGTCTCGTCAGAATCATAAATACAGTTTTATTTTAAGGATTGAAGTATGTTCGTTAATGAAAGCGCCTGATTAAAAAAAATAAGAGAAGTAGTTGCTATGATTGTGACAGTTTAGTTTTTCTTCATGTTATTTTTCAAAAATAAATAGACTGTCAGCGGAAGTTAACGTTAGTATAGACTCAACATTTTTTTAAATAAGATCTCCATGTCGAAGTTAAAAATGAGAGAAGACAAATTTTTAATATGCTACTTAGATGAAATACAGTAATGCCAATCAGAAAAAAAATTGTGCAATAATGAGCTTTACTGGAAAAAAGAAGTTTAATGACTCAGCAGAATGATTCATAAGAAAAAAAGATATTGCATTCTGAATATGTTCACTATTGAAAATGTTTCATGGGAATGTAATTTTAGTCGCCAAAGACGAAAGGAAAATTTCGACAGGCACTAATTAATCTTGCTTAGATTCTCCATAGAATTCTTCTTTATTTGTAATGAAGTATCCTTACACCAAATCATTGCCAATCTATGATCCAATATTTACTTATACAACACTCAATTTCTTCTCAAAAATGTTTTCTAAGTCTATTGAACTAAGACAATATCATTTTTAATTGACAAAAAATATTGACGTTTGTAAAAAGATTGTGATGTATCGCTCAAATCTATCAATTTGATGGAAGAAGAAGCCTACCGTAGCCAATGAAGTGTGAATCTAAATTAGATTTGAATATATGCAAGATCTTATGGTTTCGACATCTATAGTACTATTTATTATATGTATTTTATTTCTTATTCATTCATTGGCAGTAAATTACTGATTAGTCACAAAAATAAAGCAGCAAAAGGATAACAATAAAAGAAAAATGAAATGAATAGATATGAATATATTTATGCAAAACAATAATAAATATAGATCTGTGTAAAATAGAATGTATCCCACTCAATATGAAATTAAAAGTAATTGATTAAATATTATTTACACATTCTCGTGTATTTTTTTTTTCTGTTCATTCATTTATCATTAAAATTATCATTCATAAGTAAAGGACTTTCTTCATTGCCATTTTTAACAATTTCCTCTTGATGTTTATTATTGAATAATAATGTATTTGTTACAGAATTCGACGATGAAGAAGAAATAACTTTATCCGTTTCATTTTTTGTTATGATTTGAGATTCTAATGGAAAATTTACTGAAAATATATCTTTGACATGTGTAATTTGTCCTGTTGTTGATTCAATAATACCAAATGTACTGTCATTTGAAGTGATATCAGATAGATCCGATGAAATGAGAAATTTGACATGTTTTGGTATTGAAATAATTGATACTTTGTTATTATCATTAACAAGTACTTTATCAGTAGAATTCATTGTTTTATTTGGTAGTGTATTAGAAAATAATTGATTAAATGTACCGCTAAGTACACTATTATCAGAATAGACTTCATAGTCATTAAAAGGATCATTGTTTGTTAGATTTTGATGATCATTATTATTAGTTGTTGATTTATATTGTGATTGTCGATGAAATCGAGAACGTCTAGGAAAAAAAAATGTTTCAATAGAAATTCTTTTTAATTTATATTATAAATTTTACTGTTCTTCGTCTCGTTTTGTTCGTATCCAATTACTAAAAAGTACCCAATCACCAAATGTCATAGAAAGAATCTTAATAAAAGAAAGTTCAATCATATAAATATAATTTTATTTAATATTTAATACTTGTTTAAGTTCATCAAGTTCACATGATATTAAAACTTGACCATTAATATTATTTTCATTTATATCTTGAATATAGATTGGTATCATTGTTGGTTTCAAACCAATAACATCATTCTTTAAACAATCACAAATATCATTCACTGTCATCTGACTTAGAGATGGCGATAAATCCAACTATTTTATTTAAATCAAAAAATAAAAACAGTTCTAGAATATAATTTTTGTTCAAAGGTAGCAAAAAAAAAAAGGTATACTTTGACATTATTTGATAAAACTTGTTGTTCGATTGTTGGCTGTGTACTAGGAACTGATGATGAAATAGATGATGTTCGGATATGATTATCATCACCATAGTCTCGCTTTCTTATTGGTATTGATGTATTTGGACGATATGAACCTCCTACATAGAAAAAAAAGCTTATTAGCGCACCCCTTTGGAGCTAACATGTGGAATTAACATATGCTCATTAGCCTCATTATACTAATACAAAATACATCAAGTGGAAAATTTCTCTCAGATTATAGTTGTTTTCTAAGATTTTCTTTTTTTTTTGTATTCTATTTTTCTCAATTTAACATTATTAACGGGTCATGGAAAAGTTTTTAGACTAGATACTTGTTTACTTTTGACTCGCTAGAAAGTATTTCTGACGAGTTAAAAGTTAGAATGCTCTTTTCGAATATGAGCTTAGAAATACTGTGTCTATTTTTTTTCAAGAGTAGTAAGAGACTTTTTGAAAATTATTTTTAATGATGAGCCAAGAGGTTTTTGTTTACTCTATAAGTCTCTTTTCGAATATGCAAAAAACTGTCGGAATTATTCGTTTTTTAGAGCAAACATTTCTCGACAAAATGTAATATTGAGCTAAACTATAGTTTTTACTCAAGTGAAGCTACCAGCATTTTTCCAAGAGCTTCTTTCAACGTAAAACAAGTGTCAATTTTTCGAAAATGAGTATTTAGGAAAAATGAAAACTGTAGTGCTTTGCTGAAAGACAAAAAATATCTTCAAATAGTGTATTCGTAGGATAGCTTCTGATCTATAAGCTGACATATAAATAAAGATTTCAACTTTTTTAGTTTTGAATCGCAAAAGTGAAACAAGTAAAAATTTTCCATCCAAACTAATTTTTTGAGCTTTTTAAAAGTTGTTTCACTACTCTCGTACAAAATGTGTAAAGCCATATTCGAAAAGAGCATCCTAACTCATAGCTTTTGACTTGTCGGAAATATTTTCTAACGCGAACAAATATCTTGTCTAAAAACTCTCCTATCGCGCGTTATTATTCTAACTATTGATTTAACTGACAAGTAAGCCTGTTGTACATATCCATTATATTTACATCAAATCTCCACGCACTATTATATATATATATGGATAAGTTCATAGACACTCATATTGATTATTTTCAAAAGTTAGAGCTTGATTAGTTCACGCTTTGTGTGTTGATTACATGACGACTATAGCAAATCAATGTATCACTACCGATCATCTTTGACATCTAGAATATGAATTTCTATCTGCGCAAAAATTAAAAACTGCACTATTAGGAAAATTTAAAGAGCTTATTTCAACTATTGAAATTTCGATGAAGACTTTGAAATGTCTAAATCTTGTTGTTAAAGTCGTTCAACATCTTTATCCATTGCTAAAGAATTCTGAGAAAAGAGTTCGACGTCTGTTGTCCTCGGTTGCTATGGCTATTTTCTTCGAAAATATATGTGAATTACAGAAAAT